AGAGCATCAGAACATATGACATGAGCTTTCCAACTGGGGGCCTGAACATGTTTGACATGGCAGTCATGTAAAAGGCAGTTATTTTCTGTTTGTGCTGCTACTATAGTTCCCAGAGACACCAGTGTTGAACGTTGCTTCATCTGTCTTCGCTAGCTTTCATTATGAGGTTTAAACTCACATGTAGGATGCTGACAGCAGTGACAAAGCTCCTCTTGCAGTAATACTTGAAAGGTCAGGATGGGGGCAGGCGAGGGCGGTTTCATTACATGCTTCAAGAAGAACCACTGCATCTTAGCCGTGCTAAATGCTGGGACTTGTTGTGCAGATGTGCATTCATACAAATACTGCTGACTCAGTGTGTTTGGTCAGCGCTGACTGACAAGAGCTCGTTTCTTTGTTCTTCTAAACGTCTCTTGAAAACAGTGAGTTGAACTAATGTGTGACCAGTGGAGGAATCCTACGAATCCGACAAAATCCTACTCGTGTACATGTACACAAGTATAATCAGGGAAGTGTAGTTAAATAAACAATGAAGACTACTATGATCTGATATATTATTAGACGTAACATTATTATATTATAAACAGCGAAGCATCAGTGTGTCAGCAGCATATTGGAGCTACTTTCAACTCCTCTATCTCCAGTTACATGTACATCCGAGAGCCTGTTGCATCATTAATGGGAGTGAAAGAAGAAAAGATAAGTTCTAAAACTGTTTCCAGCTTTGGACTTTTACTCTAATCTTTCATTTTGGTGAAGTACTGGAACATTTACTGAAATGAAACCATGTCAGACGATTAGAGGTAAAAATCCCCATTTGGTGGAGCTGGTAATAACTCAGACACTGAAATGTGAGACCGACTACACGCCGCTATCTGTGAGAAGCCATACATTTTGGAAACTGCAGTTTAATCTTTAAAATAGATGTTGTCAGATAAATGCAGCGGAGGAGGAGGCAGAATATTTCCCTCTGACATGTAGTGGAGCTGAAGTATGAAGCAGCATGACGTGGAAATGATCAATAAAACATAAGTACCTTAAAATTATACTAATACAACGCTTAATAAATGTACACAGTTAGGTTCAACGACTGCATTTGTATAATATAGACTTTCATTTTGGTTTTAACCAACTTGTTTCACATGAAAACAAATCATAAACTTTGGTGTTCACACACTTGGCAGAGTTTAAGAGGTTAAGCCGACAGTCGGCCAAGAGGCAGCAAACAGCCAACTTTGACCTCAAGGTTATATAAGATGTTTTGCGAACTCTCACTCACCCTTTTGTTGGAGCCCGTTAGGCAGATGAGCTTCCTCAAACATCACTGTGATTAAAAAAACCAGCAGCAGCAGAGGGAGAGCTGGGGAGAAAAAAAGAGACAAAGTTAGCTGGAGGGATTCATTTGGTTTAACTGCTGTCAGGAATTCAAACAATCCCTCACCTCTTGGCAGCAGCGCTTGCTGAGCTGCTTGAAGCTGCTGATGCCAACATTAATTGGTCTGATGTAAAATCCCACCAGCGTGGTGAAGCCCGAGGAGGGGAGTGTCCCACTGCTCGCCTGGTCCTGGAATTCTTCATGAAGCTCCAACATGCTGGTGACAAATAACAGGAGGCTGTGATGAACCAGAGCAGGTCCAGTGTGACATACAGAGATACTCCATTATACACCTCCTCCACACTTAAAGCGAGTTTTAGAACTTTGAATGCTATTAATACCAGCAGTGATTTGATGCTGCATCACCACTACGATGTGCTTCACTATTCCAGGAGATTGCTCCAGTTTAGGACCCTGGAATTATTGTTAATTAGTCTTTCACCCCCACTAATAACTCTACCTTCATCCAGCTCCATAAACAGTGCTGTGACTCACTAGAGGAAATATGCAACCTACAGATCTGAGGTGCAAGAGCCCCCACTGTGGTTTACTGTGCAAAAATGCAGAATAAAATACTATAATTGTACTCTTCTTCTATTTCATAATTCCATATGCAGAGAAAAAAACACTCCAGGGGTTTTTGTAGTTTCAGGTGTCAGCAGTCTTACAGACGCCTCCCTTAGTGTTGGTCTTTGAGGAAAACACGTTATGGGCTGCAGATGAGGCCAGTGGGGCAAGTTAGCTGCAACAGACAGTGGTGGAGTTATATCCAGCTCTTTAAATACAACCGTGGTTACAGCTGACTCTGAAGTTTAGACTGAAAGTGAGGATTAAAGAGTGAAAGTGCATCTACTCCCCCTGGTGGACATTTCACAGAGTTCACATCTTAGCAACAAGCTGAACTAGCAAACAGCAGCAATATCAAAACACAAACATCTGTATTAGTGTTGAACGATGTTAGAAAAGCTGGCATTGCAATATTTGGAGTTTCTGCTTTTCTGCTATATATGGTCACTTGGAAAAGGAAAAAAAAAAAAAAACAGGAACTTTCACCAGAAGACTGGAATAACTCCGAGGGAGACAAATTTATCATTCCAGATGGGCAGGTTCACATGTTACGTAACACTGCCAAAGACATGCAAAGTTGTTTCTGCTTTGGATGGCATTTAGTGATTTACTGATGCTCCCTGAACGCCCCACGTAGCAGACTGCTGTAGCTGCTGTTTGGTGGCTGTGGTGTGCTCGGACAGGTGTGTGGCCAAAAATGACTTTAAAAATAATAAACTAGGGCGTTCTCATGTCACATTTGTCCGATGTTAAATCCAGTTACATGTATTCTACACGCGCTCTTTCCTACGAGCAGCCTTTTCTCCATTGACAGCATGGCCGATGCATTAAGCCGTCACGACAGTAGCTGTGATGTAGTAGCAGAGGACGGGAAAGGCCTTGTGACGCTGCTAGATACGTATTTAAAGCACAGTCGTAGGAACGTCGAAGGACAGTTTTGATATCCTACCACAGAAGACAAACGCAAATAAAGACAAAATTAACTGGCCTACAGCAAAAGTGGACCTGGACGCACCGAGCTGCGCCCCGTGAGAATGTCTGCAGCTGCCAATCAGAGCCCGAGCCGAGGTCACATGATCACGAAAAGTTTTTCAAGCTTCAGACACACTCACGTGGCCACGCCCCCATCCAGGAAGTAGAATTAGTAAACACGCAATAAAGACGACTGATATTAAATCTGTTAATAATACAAATATAGTTAATACAGCAAAAGAATATGAACGTTATTATTAATTTCATTATTATTTTGTTATAATTAATTCGAATTTAATTTTACGTTTGAGAACTACTTTTTAAATTGGGGGGCGCCATTTACTAACCAGCCGCCACTGACACCAACTAGCTTAGCTTTAGCTTGTAGCAGCTCACCGTTAGAGGAACTAGCTCCTTAATCCTCGATAAAACTCGAACATGACAGAAGTTCCCGGTCCATAAATCCACTACCAGGAGTGTGACGCCGCCATATGTTCGTGTTAAATGTCATTTTAGTCGAGTTTAAACCAGCAGCTGCGGTCATTAAAACCGAACAGCAGCGACTTAAAACGCCAATTAACTGAGCTATGTATTACTCCGCCCAGTGTCAATGAGGTCCTGCTTGACGTGGTGTAAATGCGCGCAGGACTACTTTACCTGAGAACGTCAAATAATTTATGATGATTTTTGGAGATTTTTAAGGAAATTTCGTGATCTTAATATCTCATTTGTAAAAATCACATCAAAAGTTACCTGCCATATTTTGTCAAACACAGAAATACTATTAATGGGTTGTGATATTTGTTTTGTGTTGATCAGCAGCTTGGTACTTTAAGAAATAAAATAAAGAAAAAAGAAAGTACTTACCAGTTGCAGAATTGCATATAAAGTGCTGCTCCACTCAACAGCTTGCTACACACATTATCGGATGTTTTGGTTAATACAAGTTTGCATTCTAAGTGACGATTTCACCAGGTTTTCTCTCTTTTCTCGCTCAACATTTTGATTCATATATTCAGGTTTCCATTTAGGAACTAATTCAGAGCACATTTTCCCACATCTGAACCTAGACAAAAAAATGAAGTTCAAGAATTAGGTTCTGAAGGAATGTTAATGAACAGCTGAACAACAGTAGGAAACGTAATCAAACATCTGAATTAGACTTGTCGAGGAAGTTTAAATAGAATATTAATAAAATATCTTGATTAGCAGAATTAACATGTACAAAGGAGGCAGAGAATAAAGAATAGTCCTTGAAAACACTTAATTAATGTAGGTAAAATGTTAAAATGTGCATGTTAATGTTTAAATAATTTAAGATAACTAGATTCTATGTGAGTACTTTGGAGATTTATCTATTTATTGTTGAGAGTAACTGCATTGTTCAGGTAATCGATACTGGCTCTGACATGTATTCAGTAAAGCATATTTGTTCTGGCCAGATAGAAAGTGTGTTTTCAGAGAAGAAAAAGAGATAATGTTGACCTGTAGATTCCTGAAGGCCTGATAAAGGAGATTTATCTTTGAAGGTCAGTGAGGCAGAGAGCAGAGACAGACACGCTGTTACACAAGAATGCAGGCGGGAATCTTCCTGATACAGACAAGAAATTCAAATAATAGTTTTTTAGTTTTTATCTACAGCGATGCTTCAACAATATTTTACCCTTAAAGCAAACGGACAACCTTGAGTGCTGACCTCGTGCACATGTTTCTCTCTTGGACGAGCATGAAACGATTTGCTCTGTGTTTCAGGCACGTCATTTGTCAGATTTGTATTTTGTGCTCCCTGTAAAAGTCATGTGGCACACATGAGGGCAGTTCCTGTTTCTCTGTCTTTGTTATGGTTCTTTTCTATCGATCTAGATCCAAAAAGTCGTAGGAGGTGTAAAAAATACATGGATTTCATGAGCAACATGATAGTCATGATAAATTCATTTATGATCTGTTTTTTTTAAATCATTATCATCAGCAGGCATTTAACTCTGACTTAAATCAGATTTTGAGCGATCAATCTTCAGTTTACTGCTTCAGGAAGAACTTGTTTTCTCATCACAAACCAAAAAATGCAAAAAAAAACTTAAATAAGAAAAAAAGGTACCAAAAAAAAACAACAGTACCTCAGGTAAAAATGCAAAACAAACAACACTGCAGGAGAGTGCAGATACAGAACTGATTTATGAGTGTTAAAAAGTCTTTTACCACAATGGTAAACACAACCTTTCACTGAGTTTGTGAACAAGTCTGAAAACACTAACAGGTCAGAATACATTCATGCTAACAGCTGCCAAAACACGCTGGGTGAGGTGTTAGGGTTAAGGTTAGACAACAAGCTCCTAAACAAACCGGCTGATAAAAAAAACAACAACATCTGCCTCAACAGGAGTAACTACCAAAGCAGGAAAAGCTGTTTTTATAAGCTGTTCCATCTGGGATCTCGCTCCTCGCCGTCGTGCTCAGCGTTGTTGGGCAGAGGAGGCTGGAGACGTTGAGCAGACATGAGCACCTCCTGAAAGTTTTCAAGACTAAACGCAAGGGGATAGAAACCAGCCTGCAATCCCGAAACAGACACAAGGATATTAGATATAAGGTTCAGCTGAAACATCCTGCAAACGTGGTATCAGCTGTTCGTTTTGAGCACTTTATTTTTATTTTATTTTTTGTGTATGACAGAAAGATCAACAGCCACTTACAGCCGGAGCTCCAGGCTCTGGAGGAGGAGGCTGATCCACAACACCCTGCTGGAAATGAGGGAACATCATGGGTCCACAGAGGTCGCCGCTGTAAAGCCCAGCAGGTACAGGTGGAAACCCCGGCATGGTGAACAGGAGGTGTGGAGGCGCAGAGTAGCCGCCGGGGTAATAACCTGGCATCCAAAAAGGGAAGTGAACAACAGGCAGAGGTGCAGTCTGCCCGAATTCCCCAGAGTGAGAGGGACCTGGAAGGAGAGGGAACCTTTGGTTAAACAAGAAGCATCCTTTATTTAACTAATACGCCCCGAGCAAAACATATAGACCAAAAAAAGCAAGAAAAAAAAAACAAAGATACTATATATGCATGTCATATGTGCATATATGTGAGAAACAGAGATAATTTTACATTTTTATACAAACCAATTAATTGAGAAAATAATATGCAACGTAAACAATTCCTTATTTTCAGGTTAGATGATCTTTTAACCTCCCTTATTAATATTTTACTGTTTTGCTTGTTGTCATACATTTTAAAGCCAAGACATAAAACACACAGTGCAAAAAGGATTTATATAAAATTCCTAGATATTGAAAATAATAATAAATGTTGCCTATATCAATGGAAATAACCTTTTTTTCTTTCTTTCTTTCTTTTTTTTTTTACTTATTTTTTGATTCAGTTTATATGGATGTAGCTGTCAGGCGGCCATCTTTGTTTTCCTTCACTGACAGAAATGACAGCTAAAGTTAGTTAAAATCAGCTTTTAAAAAAAACAAACAAACAAAAAAAACCAAACAAAACACCATGTTGTACATATTATGACTGCTACGGTCCTATCTGGTGTCGCCACAGTGTGTTCCTTTCATGTTAAATATTATGCCCTTTAAATGTTTTATTAAACCAAGTCAAGCATCCTTAGCTTTAGCTTGCTGAAACAAAGATGGAGTCCGGTGGCTACAACTATACAAACTAAACTAAAACTTGAGAAACTGATTAGTAAATGAGGTTATTAGAGCTCATATTGTTGAGATTTTGTAATCTTTACAATTTTTTATTTCCCTACATTTTGTGGTGCTTTGAGTAAAACATAATTGATTATTTGCTCCTGTTCTAGAAAGCTAGCCAGCAGAACTACCCTGTTAGCACCAAACTTTAGCTGTAGCTTGCTAAAACAAGATGGCTCCGGTGGCTACATCTTCACAAACTAAATTAAAACTTGAGAAACTGATTAATAAATGAGATTATTAGGGCTCATATTGTTGAGATTTTGTAATCTTTACAATTTTTATTTCCCTACATTTTTGGGTGCTTTGAGTAAAACAAATTCATTATCTGTTCCTGTTTTAGAAAGCTAGTGAGTGGAACAACTGTGTTAGCCCCAAATAACTTTAGCTAGCTAAAACAAGATGGCGTCCGGCGGCTACATCTTCACAAACTAAATAAAACTTGAGAAAGTGGTTAATAAGGGTTAGTTCCCGGCTTGTGTCCCCCCCCCCTACGGATCCACGGTGATAAACGATGATTTCATATCGATTTGCTTACCTCCCGCGTCCTGAGCTGCCCTCTCCGGCGGTCCAGATGGAGCCGACGATCGAGCGCCTCTTTCCGGCGTCGAGCCGCTGGAGCTCCCGTTGGCCCCGCTGGCTCCGGTGCCGGCGCGGCGTCTCCGCTCCCTTCCCTGGCCGTCTCTCACCACGTCTCTATGCGCGGCGGTGATCCGGGTCCGCTGCGTGGACAGGCTGCACTTCCAGCAGTCGCAGCGGAGGAAAGGGCAGCTCTTGGTGTGGCCTTTCTTCGGGGTGAGGACGCCGTGGTGCCGGCAGCGAGCGCACTTGGAGAGGCGCGGTTCTTCTTTGGACGGAGACATGGAGCAGGCGGTGCGTAAAGATGTAAAACCTGCCCTTTATTCCTGCTGAGTTCGTGTCGGTCTCCTGTGGGAATCAGCCAGGTGGCCTGATGCGTGACCCAATCTGAACTTTATTAAAAAATAAAGTAACATTTTTAATGGCGGGAAGGTTTGAGTGACAGGTTGTCAGAATCTGATCCACAGCTGTCTGTCATCTCTGTTGAGCTGCTGCTATGACCGATATTTAACCCCAATTAAAGACTTCATACAATCTGACACTCCACCACCTGTTTAATAAGAAATATTGTTTTTTTTCAGTGTCCCACAAATTTCACATTAAAATTTAGCACAAAACCAAAAAAAACAGCTTGTAAGAGTCCAATGCAGAGGTGCTGTTCACACACTGGGGACTTGTATTTTAACATAATATCGCACCATTTTTTAATTTATTTCGGAGAAAAATTAATAAAAATGGGAGACACTGTGCTCTCTGTAAAGTCACTGTGAGTGCAAACTAGCTGGATTAAAGCCTTGCCCTGGAATAAGTCTACGATTTACAGCTGCAGAGGAATCCTGCATTGGGTTAATTCAGCCTGAGCCTTCCTTCCTGTACAGTTGTGTTATTGTGCAGCAAAAGTCTGTTGATTTCAACCTGATACCTGCACATTTTTTAAAAAGTTATTTCAGAGCAAAATCTAAATAAAGCACAACACACTGGCTTTAGATAGAGTACGGTCGTCCCACGCTCCACCAAACCTGAATAGTCTTCTGTATAAGTTACTAATGCTTTTTAATCTGGGTGAGCGATCTCTGTATTACAACACATTCTGTATGGGAACTATGTTAAACTTCATGCTTCTGTCTGGCATCAGACGACTAAACGATCGCCATTTTCAAACACTAAGACTTCAAACTGTTGTAGACACCAGTGGAGGAAACTTCGTTCTTATTAAAGAATCAACTGGAAACTAAAAGTGGGGCACAAATTAGGTTTCCGTCAACTTTTTCGGCTTGTATACGTCAATCAAGTGTATTTAACGCTGGCAGGCAGACCAAAATAACTCTTGTCACGTACAGCTGTCACGATTTATGTGTGATGTGTTCAAATGACAATGAATAAATGAGAGAAAACCTTTCATTTCCATGTTTATTTACATAGTGTAAGGTGTTCCAATAAAATTCCTTGTCACCGTTTTATTATAAATACACCGTTTGAAACAAGGCTTGATGACCCTCACTAAAATACATCCTTCAAACCTTTTGAAACATAAACAAACAAACAAAACAAAACAAAAAAAAAAGCTCTAATGGATACAACTATTTCATTTTTGCACCTTTTTAAATGTTAGTAAAATCATGCAAAGCAGAAGTATAGAGTACGAAAATAAAACGATATAGATCAAATGTGTCGCTTTACAAAGAAAAATCAAAACAAGTATATGTAGTGTAAAATACAAATACTGGGTCTGGTGCGAAGCTTAAAGATCTTTCTCAAAGAAACGTTAATTCATGGCTTTTAGCAGTAGCACTCTATAGAGTTATGAATATACAGTACATACATTACATGTCTGTGAAGAGAAACAAAAAACAGCAGAATAATGTAAATCTTAGCCATTAAACATTCAAAACCTTATATTGTAGCCCTGTGTGACAACCAGATTTGTGACGTTACACTGTGACATACTGTACTGGACAGTAAAAAGGCTTACCTGATAACACAGTAATTATTACATTAAGGGGAGAAATGCTTTTTCAGTCATGCATCAGTCAGTTTACAGCGTTTTCACTGCACCATCTCACAATACTCCCAGTAAAGTGTTCAACAGTATTTTGCAGGCACTTACAAAGCACGGTTTAGGCCTTTATATGAGTTTCAAAATGGTCCACTGTTAAAAGAATCTGATAAAACGACGTGTGAACGAGCGCATTGCATAAAATCCTCGAATACAGTGATGGTCAGAGCCCAAATTAATGCCAACGGTCTCTGGAAGACATCTGAGCGAAGAGCTGGAGACGAGATGGAGGCGATTTCTACAACAGAAAGTTGGAGGAAAGCTTTAGACTTCACGACACGGCACAGGCAATCACTTTCAAAGTAATTAAATGATAAATCAGTCTCTTTACGCACCTTTTAAAGTGTCCAAAAAGGCCGGGGCTTGTATGTGTTGGTCTTGAAGTTGGATGTGTAAAGTCCAGAAGTGTCAGATGATGTTAATGGTCATATTGAGTGATATTATCCTCTCATTCTCCGTCTTTGATGTTCGTTTCACAACGTTAGCCTGTTGCTCCAAGTCCAGTTTTTTGGACAGGACATTGGGAATGGAGTGGAGTTCAGATATTGGTATTTGCGGCAGTGTAGCCCAGGAGAGAAAAGATCTTGAAGCTTGGCATTCTTAAAGCAGACTCTTCTAGTGTTATTCATCGTCGGGAGACTCCATATTCTGCTCTGCAGAGTGGCTTTCTATCCTTTTTCAGATAAATTTTTTTCTCAATATTCAAAAATATACACATGTACAGAATTTTTAGTTTGTACATCCAATTTGGTTCTCTTTAACAGACTATGGGTCATAGACACTTTTGGTTATAGTGTCAAACAGTATTGAAAGAAGATAAAATCATGTTTGTGGAACAGTAAATGATGTCCAGCTCTAACAATCAAAAAAATATCATGTACACTTGAAACGCTTGTGATATAGTATGAATAAACAGCTGTTGCTAACTGCTTACAGTACACACTCAGAGAGTCTGCTGAGATAGCATAACTAAAAGTAAATGTAAAATATACAATAAACAAAATGATTCAACTTGTAGAAAATTAAATACTAAAAGTCTTGTAACAACCCCATGCAGAGCAGAATAAAGGTAGTCTTTATTCCACTTAGATTTAGGCATCTGGTGAGCTTTGTGGTTTTTTTTAGCGTATCCTTCCCTTAGACGATTCCTTTAACTTCGCATTCAGTATCGGCGGCCGTAGCTCGGTGAACCGTACGAAGTGGAAGAGAAGGTTGTTGTGAAACTCGATCCTGTGGCGTCAAAGCTGCCTCTTCTGGAGCCGGACCTGGAACCAGTTCTTGAGCCAGACCGGGACCCAGTGGCGGAGCCTGACCCGCTGATGCTGTAGGGACTGTAAAGGCCTTTGCTTGACTGAGATGATGCTTCCAGCAGCCTCAGGCCTGTCCCCTCCTCTGTCATGCTTCTGTCCATAGCATCCTTGTAGGAAATCTTAAGCTTGGTTTTCGGGCACGTGAGGTATTTTGAATAAGCACTAACATCTCGTAGCTTCTGTGCAGTGCGAGCATCTAAGGAACCCTTCTTCACGGCCTCATCTATAGAGACTCTGTTGGTAGCGTCTGGTTCAATTAGACCACCAGTGAGATACTGGACCTCCAGGAATCGCTGTCCGGCCTCATAGTACAACCAGCCTTTCTTTAGAGCTTGGGCTGCGGACATTTTGGTTTTGGTCCTGGGATCTTCAAATCCATTGTACGCCTTCTGGGCCAAAGTGATGCGATCCACCATGATTTTATCTACGAGCCCTTTATTCATTGCGTCTGTAACAGTGAATTTCTCACCAGTGTTTGGGTCGATGATGCCTCCTGTGCAGGCCTGAGCTTCCAGAAGCCTTTGGCCTGTTATATTGTCCACCAGGTTTCTGTGAATGGCCTCTGTGACGGACACCTTCTCCAGAGTGTCAGTGTCTAAGATTCCAGCCACGGGGCCAGTTTCCTCTGTGGGGTCGTTCCATACGGTTGCTGGTGTTTTGATAGAAGGTACTGGGCTCATTGGGTAGGAGGAAGAGGAGCCAAAGGAGGAAGACCGGGATCTGACACCGCTCATGTTTCCAGAGAGCATGTCTGCAAACTCTGTGATGGACAGTGTTCCTGCTCGGTACTGATCCAGAGCTGACTTATCGATCAGGCCTCTTGAGATGGCGTCATCGATATCATACTGCCGACCAGACCTCCTGTCGATGATCATGGACTTCACAACTCCGTCAGATGAGGTGATGGTAATCTCCTCCCATTCACACTCCTGCTCTGCAAGCTCTAGGTAAGTCTGGTGGTCAATGAGTCCTTTCTGATACGCCTCATACACCGACATCTCCTTGCCGGACTCTGGATCAACGATAACGACCCTTCGTTTGCGAACAGAAGACTTGGACGATGTCTTCCTCTCGCGCTTCTTTTCTTTCAACAGCAGCAGAGCGAGGCCGGTCTCTGGGTCCTTCATACATCTCTCCATCAGCTGCAGGTAGGTGAGGTTTTCCTCAGTGTTGGGGTCAAAGAAGCCCTTAGTGTCATCAGACGGGTCAGTGAGGATCTCGTTCATTTCCTGATCAAAGAGGCCGCGTTCGTACGCTGTTTCAACTGGCAAACGGTGACTCTCCTGAGGATCAATTATTCCACCTGTAGCAATCTGAGCCTCCAACAGGCGGATGCCATGGTCTTTCAGAATGAGCCCCTTTTTCATGGCCTGGAAAAGAGAGATAACCTTGCCAGAGTAAGGGTCCTTGTAGCCTGTGACTGCTCTTTCAGCTGAGAGGAGTTTGTCTTTAAACTCTGGGCCAACAACATTCATTTTTACAGCTTCAGCGACATTTAGTTTCAGGTTCTTAATAGGGTCAATCACATAACCTGTGGCGGCTTGAGCCTCGAGGAGCTCGAAGGCGGTTCCTGGTCTGATCATGTTCTTCTTCATTGCTTGGTAAATAGATAGGCGGTCTTTGCTGGATTCTACATACACACCAGCAATGCAGCTGGTGCCCTCCAGGTATTTCTTCAGCTCCCTGCTGACTTCTTCCACCGAAATAACACCCTCAGTGAGTTCGTTGTAAGTCTTCTGGTCAATAATCTGCGAGCGGAGCAGCTCATCCACAGTGATTTGCTTTCTGAGACCCTTAAAGAGAAGCCTTCTGTCTGCCAGCGACAGCAGCCGCAAGCCGCTTTCTTTGTCAACTCTGCATCTCTTCAGTAGCTGGGCATAGGACTGTTTCTCATCCGTTGTTGGATCAGTGTAACCTCGCACATCAGCAGTAGGTTCAGATATTCTGTCAAGTGTCTCCTTGTTGATGTATCCACGCTGCATGGCAACATCAATGGGGAGGTGGAAGTAGTATTCAGGATCCATCAGCCCTCCAGTGGCATTCTGGGACTCCAAAAGCCTCAAGGCATAATCTTCTGGGATCAGGTCTTTTTTCATTGCCTGGAAGAGAGAAATGACTTTTCCACTGTACGGATCCTTGTAACCTGTAACTGCTCTCTCGGCAGAGAGAAGCTTGTCGTGAAGCTCAGGGCCGACCAGCCCCTTGCGCACAGCTTCATCAACTGTAAGGAGTTCGTCTTTTACCGGATCAATCATGAATCCTGTTGCAGCTTGGGCCTCGAGAAGATTCAAAGCGATTTCCGGCGTAATCTTTCCGCTCTTCATTGCCTGGTAAATGCTGATCTTCGGAGGACTGTCTGACATAATTCCAGCAATGCAGCCAGTGCCGAAGAGGTATTGCTTCACTGATGGCATCTCCATCACCTCGCGAATTGTCATCTTCTCTTGTTTCAGGAGGTTGTAAGTGTGCAAGTCGATGATTCGAGCACTGTACAGCTCCTCAATAGTTACTCTTCTCCTGATGACGTCACATGACATGCCCTGCTCGGACTTTAGAGTCTCCCGTTGCTCAATGATTTCAATGATGATGACGAGCATTCTGTCCTTTGTGATTTGTCCCAGACGGTACTGCTCCAGGAGGCGGCGTCTCTCCTCTTCTGGGAGCATATTTGAGTTCATGACTTCCCAAATGGTCAAACTCTTTCCTGCAAAGCTCTTGTGAGGGATCTCAACTTGAGTATTAGCCAGATCTGTTTGGGCTTGCTCCTCCGTGTACTGATAGGATTTCTCGACAGGAGCAGGAGATTCAACCTTCGACAGAGGCAGGTAGCATAGGCCAGTGTTGGGATCTCTAATGCATTTCTCCAGCAGCTGCTTGTAAGTTACACTTTCATGGGTGTTGGGATCGGTGAAGCCTTTAACATCGCCTGAAGGTTCATTGAAGGACTTAGACATTTGTTTGCTGAGATAGCCACGCTGAATAGCCACATCGTTGGGAACACGATGGCTGCTGACCGGATCAATTATCCCTCCTGTACTGAACTGAGCCTCCAGAAGAGGAATCGCATGCTCCCTCAACACTAGTTCTTTCTTCATGGCTTGGAGGAGAGAAATCTTATTGCCTGTATATGGATCTTTGTATCCCGTCACTGCTTTTTCAGCAGATAGGAGTTTCTCATGAAGCTCTGGACCAACAACTCCAGCCTTCACCGCATCGTCCACAGAGTATTTCAAGTTTTTGACAGGATCAGTAATGAAACCAGTTCCAGCTTGGGCTTCAAGTAGACCCAGTCCAGTGTTTTGTTGTATAACATTCTTTTTCATTGCTTGATAGATGCTTAACTTTTCATTTGAATCTGCCATGGTGATGCCATCAATGCGGTCTGCGCCCTGCAGGTACTTCTTGACTTTATCGGTTTCACTGACTTCTTTAGGTGTCTTTTTACCTTGCTGGAGTTGATCGAATGTTGCCTTATTGATGATGTTGGAATCTAATAATGAGCTGGCAGTGACTGGTGCCCTAAGGCCTTCAAAGCAGGCTTCTTCTTTTGTTTTGTCCCCTTTTTCATCAACCATTGTTATCACAATCTTGATGAGCCTTTCGATGGTTACCTGTCCCATTCGGTACTGGCGAATCAGTTCTATTCTTTGTTCCTCAGTGATGTACTCAGAGTGTATGATCTCCCAGATTGTGACCTTTCTTCCTTTGAAAGGTCCATGCTCCAGCTCCATGGTTGTTTGGTTCAAGGCCTCTTTCGTTTTAGCCTCTGTAATCTGTTTTTCTTCTTTTGGCTTTGGGGCTTTCTTTGAGAGGGAGAGTAATGGGAGCCCAGTTTCTTTGTCTGTGATACATTTATTCATGAGCTGTGCATATGTTGCATCCTCCTGTGAGTTGGGATCGTAAAACACCTTTGTTTCGTCTGTGTTTTGGTTCAAGGTCTTGCTCATTTCCTCGTTAAAATAGCCACGTTTGCAGGCAACCTCATGTGGGACACGGTAGCTTTTCATGGGGTCAACGATTCCACCTGTTGAAAGTTGTGCTTCGAGCAGACGGATGCCATGGTCTTTCTTTATGAGGCCTTTGTTCATGGCTTCAAACAGAGAAACCGTTTTCCCTGTATATGGATCTTTATAGCCGCTGACAGCTCTCTCTGCTGACAGAAGTCGTTCATGCAGCTCTGGGCCAACAAGACCCGACTTAACAGCTTCATCCACAGGGACCCTCTCGTTTTTAACAGGATCGATTACAAACCCTGTGGCTGCTTGAGCTTCAAGAAGAGTCATGGCTGTCTCTGGTGAGAGTAACTCTTTTTTCATCGCTTGGTAGAAAGGCATTTTCTCTTTGGTTGGTTCATTCAGCAGTCCAGCAATGCTTGGTGTTCCTTGCAGCGCCTTCTTCACAGGATCCATCTCAGAGACCTCTTTGACCGTTATCTTTCCATTACTCAACTTGTTGAACAAGTCCTTGTTTATAATCTTGGACTCCAGCAGCTCATTGGCAGACACCGGAGCCCTCAAACCATTGAACAAATTTCCATTGTTCTTCTCCTTGTCTTCCACAACAGTGATGACAATTTTGATGATCTTTTCCACTGTGATCTTGCCAGTCTTGTACTGGCGAATCAACTCTCTTCTTTGCTCTTCAGTGAAATACTCAGAATTTATGACTTCCCAAATGGTGACGGTTTTTCCTTTGAACTTTCCAAAAGGCACGTCGACGTTTGATTTGCTGAACACATCTTTCGTCTCCAAATCTGTGTAAGTTCTCTCAGTTTGAGCAGCTTTGTCCGTCACTGGTAGTATCAGCAGGCCGGTCTCTGCATCTTTAGTGCATTTTTCCAGCAGCTGTTTGTAGGTCAGTTGCTCCTGAGTGCTGGGATCAATGAATAACTTGCAATCATCGCTGGGATCGGTGAGTTTCTTGTTCATGTCTGCGTCAAACTGACCTTGTTTGTAGGCTGTCTGCAGTGGAACTCTGTGGCTGTTGATGGGATCAACGATGCCACCAGTTGCAAGCTGTACATCAAGGAATTTGGTGGCCTGCTCCTTCTCAATAAGTCCCTTCTTCATGGCTTCGAAAAGAGAGATTCGGTCACCAGTGTAGGGATCTTTAAAACCAGTGGCTGCTCGCTCTGCAGAAAGCATCTTGTCATGAAGTTCAGGACCAATCAATTCCTCCTTAACGGCCTCATCCACGGACAGTAGTTTATTTTTCACTGGATCAACGATGTAGCCAGAAGCTGCCTGAGCTTCCAGGAGCATCGTGGCAGTGTTGGGAGAGATCTTGTTCTCTGCCATGGCCTTGTAGACGCTCATTTTCTCTTTGGATGGAGTCAAGACACCTCCGACACAGCTCTGTCCTTTAAGGCATGATTTGATTTTCTCTGTCTTTCCGAGGTCTTGCACGGACACTTTGCCTTTTTTCAGTTTGTCGAAATCCTTCTTGTTCAGGACACCGATGTCGAGAAGCCTCTCAGCTGGAACTTTCTCTCTTATTCCATCGAAGGCTAACGGTGATTCTCCTTCTTTCTTCACTCCGTCCACTTCAACAGAGCCATTGAAAACTTTCCTTGTCGTTCCCACCATCGTCATGGCAACCAGCTGCTCCTCAGGTACCTTATCGGTCTGAACTTCAATTTCTTTCGTCTTGGATGCACCCTGTTTGGAAGCCACCTCGAGGTTCTGAAGTTTCTCTCTGAGCTTTTTGTTCTCGTCTCCCAGGACCTTCTCTTGGTCAAGCCTTTTCTTTTCGAGCACTTCCATTTCTTTCTGCTTGTTCTTCATCTCCGCTTCGGCCTCCTTTTGTTTCTTTACAGCGTCATCCATAATTGCCTGAAGTTTCTTCTTCTCCTCCTCCATCAGCTTCCGCTGACGTTCCTGCTCATCTTTGAGCGCTTTGGCCTTATTCACTTCATCCTCAAACTGCTTCTCGAGCTTCTTCTTCTCATCTTCGACGGCCTTTTCTCTTTTCAGCAGTAGGTCCTTCTCTGTGAGGAAAGACTGCTGAAGTTTGGCCTTCTGTTGCTCAATTTGTTCCTGTTGGGCATTTGCCATCTGATTGAAAAAAAAAGAAGACAAAAATCAGTAAAATGTTTATGAAACGTCCCTCAACCATTGCATGTAACCTAAATAAATATCTGTAGGAATAGTTCACCAGTTTGAAAACACTCTTCTTTGCTTTCTTGTGAAGAGTTAGACGAGAAGATCCAAACCTCTGTTGACTGAAACTACAGCCAGCAGCTAGTTAGCTTAGCTTAGCTTAATTAACGAACTAGAAACTGCTAATTTGGCTCCGTCCATTGGTAATACAAATCAGCACCTCCAAATCTGACAAGTTAAAATGTTTTATCGCAGTTGTTTAGGTTAGACTATAACCAAGATAACCATGTCTGGTTTTAGCCTTATAGTTGGCACACTGAGTCATGTTGATCTTTTCATGTAATCCTTTCCAATAGGTCTGAGCAATTTAAGGAATATATCGGTGATTGGCTGAGTCCATCACTGGTTGGGTTTTTTTGGTGTTTTTTGTGATTTTTGTAATTTCATGTTGCTGATTTAATGTTCTGCCTTATCAAGAATTTAATAAAAAATAAAAATAGAAAATAATGAACCTGTAAAGTGCAAATTAAAGCCCAGTTGGAGGTTTTCTTGCACAGATTTCCGTTTTTCACGAAGCAAGGCAGCGACTAAATGGGAATTAAGCCACCTTTAGTGGTCGCTGTCTATTGACAGGTGCTGAAAAGCAATTTCTAAAACATATTTGGGATCTACCATGAACTGTACGAGTGGATAAAATAAAGATTATTACTAATATCATTTAATTTGCATCCCCAAACACCAGTTTAGCATTCAGTACCTCTTTAATATGTCTCTACACTGTCGAAAAATAATGAAAATCTGCAGCGAGGTTGCCAGAAAAAATATGCAAAAATGGTCGAATATTGTAATGCTCAAAAAGTGTCACATAATTCTAAAAAAAAACCCAGCAAATATTTCTAAATTGACATTTTTGTTGATTTAAAAATACAGTTAATGTTGTAATTTTATAGTTAAACGTGGTAGAAAAATAACAACCATTTTAAAAAAAAAAAAAGAGGGATTTTGATGTGATGTATTTCAGCTTTGGCTTGTTTGTTGTTTAGCGTTTACTTTTAAAACAATACTTTCTTTCTGTGATTTTGCTAGTTATTATCAGTAATGTACCAAAACAGGGAAAAGCAGTAAAATAACAGAAATTGTTTTTAAAGAACGACACTGCATTGATCATTTTACCTCTGCAGTGTTGAGTTTTCAGTGACTGTCATATAAATTGCTGCATGTTAACTTAAGACCGCAATTTACATGAAGTGTGTTTTGTCAGGAACATTACTGTCGTTAGTGTGTTTCACAGGGTCGTGTTAATTAAAGGGTTCCACTAATTGACTGACGCGGTTAATTCAGGTTACAATACCTCTTTAGACTTTTTCTGAAGCTCCTCCGCCTCCTTTTTCAGTTTCTCTCTCTCCTTTTCTAGGTCGGTTATGGCTTTCTTCAGGTCGTCGGCCTCCTTCGTGCTCTGCAGCCTCTGCGTCTCCAACTTCTGCACGACGATCTCCGTCGTTTGTTTCTCCGTCGACTGGAGACGATCTTTGGCTTCATCGGCTTGTTTCTTGAATTTCTTGGCCTCCTCTTCGGCCTTGGCCTGGGCGTCGCTGAGCTCTTTCACTCTCAGCTTCAGTTTCTCTGCTTCGGCTGAAACCTCCAGCTGCCTCTTGCGTTCCGCCTCCAGAGACTTCTGGAAGCCCTCCGTCTCCTTGTCGAGGCGCTGCTGGATCTGCTGCTTGTCTTCCAGCAGTTTTTTAGCCTTTTCCTGTGCCTGGTCCTTCTGTTTCTGCAGCTCTTCTGCCTGAGCTTTCAGTTTCGTGGCCTCTTGGATGGCCTGCATTTTCTCCTTCAGCATCTTCTCAGCGAGCGCCCTCTGCTCAGCCAGGTCCGCCTCGGCGATCTGCCTCTGTCTGGCGGTTTCTTCGGCCTGCACACTGAGTCTGGCGGCGTCCTCCGCCAGGCTTTTCATCTTCTCCGCTTCCTCCGCCAGCAACTTCTGCGTCTTGTCTTTGTCCTTTTTCATGAGGCGCCGGTTCTCTTCCTCGATCTTCTGCTTCAGTTTCAGGAGCTCGTCCATCTGGAGCTTCACTTTGGCCAGCTCGTCCTCCACCTGCGCCTTCTGTTTGACGGCGTCGTTGACCTGACCTTTAACTCGCTGCAGCTCCTCGTCCAGCACTGCTTTCTGCTTGTCCGTTTCATCCAGCTGCAGTTTCACCACCGTGAGTTCTTTCTCCACCTGAGATTTCTGCTTCAGCGCTTGTTCGGCCTCCTTCTTGTGCTTGGCCATCTCTGCGTCGGCCTGCTTCTTCTGCTTCAGAGCTGCTGCTTCGGCCGCCGCTCGCTTCGACGCCTCCTCTTCTGCTTCTTTCTTCAGTCTCTCTGCGTCTTTCTGAGCTTTGGCCTGTTTGGCGGCTTCGTCCTCTGCAGCTTTTTTCTGCTTCTCGGCCTCCTCGGCTTTCTGACGCAGCACGGCGGCTTCTTTCTCTGCTTTCACTTTGGCTTTCTCGGCAGCTTCGGCGAGCTTCTTGGCGTTCTTAAATTCTTCTTTCAGCTTGTCCTGAGCGAGAACGTCTTCTTTGTTCTTGCTGAGAACATCCTGAGCTTTCTGCTCTGCGGCGCTGCATTTCTGCGCCGCCTCTTTGGCCAGAACCACCTGCTTCTCCGCCTCCTTCTCGGCCTGGTCTTTCTGTTTGTTGGCTTCAGCTGCTTTCTTCTTGAGGCGGTCGACTTCCTCCTGAGCGGCTTTGCACTGTCGAGCCGCCTCTTCCTCCGCTGCAGTGATCCTCTTCACCTTCTCCTCAGCCTCTTTCCTCTTCTTCTCCTCCTCGGCGGCGAGCTTTTTCAGCTTCTCCGCCTCTGCTTCGGCTTTGAGTTTGCTCTTCTGCGTCTCGTCTGCGATGCCCTTCAGCTTCTTCAGCTCTCCCTCCAGATCCGACTTCTCCTTCGACGCTTTCTCGAAGTTGATCCTGATGAGGTGAATCTCCTCCTCGACCACCTTCTTCTGCTTCAGGGTTTCCTCCACGATGGTTTTTTGTCTCACGAGCTCAGTGTCCGATGAGCTCTTCAGGTGAGTGATTTTCTCCTGGATCTGCTGTTTATGCTGAGCAGCCTGGTCCTCCAGCAGCTTCCTCTGATAAGCTTCATCCTCAGCTTTCCTCTTCAGCCGTTCATTCTCTGCCTCCTTGGCCTTCAGGGCGATCTCCGCTTCAGTCTTCAGCCGAGTCGCCTCGTTGATGGCAGCCAGTTTTTCCTTGAGGATTTTTTCCGCCTCGGCCCTCTGCTGTGCCGCCTCGTCCTCCGCCATCTGCCGCTGCTTCTTGGCCTCTTCGGCCACCGACCTCATCCTGGCGGCCTCCTCGGCGAGCTGCTTCATCTTCAGCGCTTCAGACTCGAGCAGCTGTTTGCTCTTCTCTGTGTTGGACAGCGTCTGCTTCTCAGCTTCAATCTTCATCTTCAGAAGAGCGTCCATCTCACCTCGGACTTTGGCCAGCTCGTCCTCCAGTTGTTTTCTCTGCTTCTCGGCGGCGTTCACCTCGTTTTTCAGTCGCTGCAGCTCGTTGTCCAGCAGGCCTCTCTGCTGCTCGGCGTGTTCGAAGTCGGCCTTTAAGCGGATGCACTCTTGCTCTGCGGACAGTTTTTGCTGAGCGACTTGCTCGGCAAACTTCCTCTGTTTCTCCAGCTCTATCTCTGCGTTCTCCTTCTGCTTGAGCGCAGCCTCTTCGGCTTTAGCTCTCTTCTTGGCATCTCGCTCTGCGTCAACCTTCTGCCTCTCGGCGTCCTCCTGAGCCTGGCTCTTCTTCTGGGCCTCCTCCTCGGCCTGCAGCCTCAGGCGAAGGGCCTCGTTGGCTTTCTGTCTCCATGTTTCGAGCTCTTTCTCTGCCTGCTCCCTGGCTTTGTTGGCTTCCTCTTGCTGTTTCCTGAGCTTGTCGGCCTCCTCCTGCAGCTGGAGGACGGTGCCCTGCTCTTTCTTCAGAGACTCCTCCAGCTTTGTTGCCTTTTCGGTGAACGACACGGCTTTGCTTTGCAGCTCTGTGGCGGCGGTCTTCTGAGCCACCTCCTCCACCACCTTGATCTGCCTCAGCTTTTCCTCCTCGGCCTGCTTCATGCGCCTCTCCGCCTCCTCGGCTTGCATTTTGAACTTCTGCAGGTCGTCCAGCGCTTTCTGCTTCTGCTTGGCCGCCTCTTTTTCCGCTTCGGATTTGCGCTTCAGCTCGTCCTCAGCGTTTTTCTTCTTCTGCGTCTCCTCGGTCACCTGCTTGCGAAGCCTCTCCGCCTCGTCCTGAGCGGCCTTCCGGAGCTTCTCGGCATCGGCGGCTTTGTCTCTGAGCGTCTTCAGCTCGGCCTCGGCTGTGCTCTTCTGATTTATGGTCGTCTGCAGCTGAACTCGGATGAGGTGGATCTCCTCCTCGATCTTGGTGCGACTGAGCTGCGCCTCCTCCAGCTGCAGGTTCTTGGACTTGATCTCCTGCTCCGACAGACTCTTCAGGTGATGCAGCTCCTGCTGGATGTTTTGCTTCTGTTTCTCGGCGTCCACAGCGACGTCCTGCCTCTTGTTGGCCTCCTCTTTCATCTTCGATTTCAGCTCCTCGGCCTCTTGCGTGGCTTTGGCCACAGATTTCGCTTGAGCCTCGGCCAGCTGTCTCTGCTTGTCTAACTCAGCCTGTATGTCGGCCATCTTTTTCCTCTCCTCTTCTTTTAGCTTTTCAGAGGCCTTCTGTATTAGTAGAAGCAAAGAGGGAGTAAAGGGAATTGAGAGAATGTTAGGGGTGTTAGATTATAAAGTCAACATTAACGTAAGTTACAACACATGTAGGTACATAAAAATGTAAATACATGAGAACATGTTATTATTTACAACAGATAGTTTTTAACTAGGAGGAAAACACTGTATTGGGAAATGCTTGTCATGTTCACTTAATGTATGGCACACAGAATGACACTTTACTTCACAACACAGGACGACACTACACTTTGCTGTCATGCATCAGAGCTATTTTAATTGATTGGTTTTATATGTTATATTATTGTATATTGTCATGGAGTAAAACTCATCAGGATATCAGTGTCTTTGAGGTGTTGCTGCTGATGTATTTCTATGAAAGAAATGGGGGTTTCTAAGAGAGAATTGTTGTATAATTCAGTCACCGTTTGACATTTAAGGTTAAATCTATAAAGTAAAGCAGCTCATAAGGAGGAGAAATAAGCAGGGAATAAATAATTAGCAGCATGCAAAAAAGTGCTAAGCGCAGATGGAAAGATGCCAAAGACCTAAATAAAGAAACAGCCCAGTAACTTAAACAGTCGTATTTGATGGGTTTGCATTGCAGGTAAATCAGAGTCGGTAGAAAGAGAACAACTCTCACTGGTAGCGTAGTGATGCAGCAAACACAGCGTGACTTCATGTAACGGACAAGCTTGGATTAAGACGCAAAGCCCCTTTCAGACATGAACAACTTTCTGTCAATCTGTCGGCACCTGAACGTGTCGGACGCTCGCTTCTCGTAAAAGTCGTGACGGAGATTTTATCGGAACTGCGAACTTTTGCAGCAACGTTAACATGAAAGCAAACGATGTGCTGTGTGACGTGATCTGTGCAGGACTTTTTCCACATTTCAGCACCAATGTTGGCCACAAAAATCATCTTTTGTCAGCTTTCTCGCTCATTTTGCACTTGAAATGTCAATAAAAACTTTACCACAGTAATGAAAGGTCAGATTAATGGGACACTAATAAAGGTGTTTTGACAAAAGTTTAACAGAAGCTAAAGTTTTGTTCGTTGCTTCTAGTTGTTCAGAAGTTTTTCCTTCTGGAGTTAATTCAGTACCTGCAGCATCAGGAGGAGGGTTGTGTGCATAACAGAAGTGACTTTATTAATTACGTGCAATTATAAATGAAATACTTTGAGCTGCGTGAAGCAATTTTTCACATTTCAGCACCAATATTGGCTTTCTGTGCCTACAATTTTAACCGAAATGTCCGTTAACAGGAGCTAAAGTTTTGCTCGTCTCTTCCAGGTGTTTAGGAGTCTTTCCCCCGAGTTCATTAAACATCTGCAGCAGGATTCACATGAGCGTCTATGATGAAACAGAGCTGTACACATTTCTGCATATGGAACAACCAAAGTAATTGATTAAGTATAATTATAAACTATCGCTGACATGTCGACAGGATGGATCAGGATCTAACAGCAGGTCACACTGTGGACTTTTCTTCACCTCAGACACACAATCTCCATCTTCCATATTATATTAAGGTGTAATCTCTTGTTTATCAGTGCATTATGATGAATTGTAATCTCATGTTTATGACGAATATCGCGCTATGACTGACAGGATGTCGTCACTTTAACAGCAAAGTGTTTCACGTCTGAAAAGGGCTTAAATGACAAAGACACAAATCCAAGATTAAGTGGCGCTAATTCTGACAGCACAGACGACAAACATCCAGAGATGAGATTTAAGTAAACGTGTGGTGATGTGTACAAGTGACGGATGCCTACGAGGAAGGTTCAGCATTTTGGAAACCGGTCATATTGAGCTCCAGTTGTTTTATTTTTTTTTTTTAAATTAGCACCAACTTCCTGATTTCATTTTCTAGAGCAACAGTACAACACTGAAACATAATCTGCAATCTTGATTATGTCATTTTTTAAGCACAACAGTAGAAAAATATTAATATTCTTTGAATTTGCTGCTTTTCTTCTGTTCAGTTTTATTATTTTGGGGATTTGCACAAACAAAACAAGAGATCTGAAACTATTTTTTGTCGCAATTCCTTCAAAAACATTATCAGCACTTTAATACCATTAAAGTAATATATTAAGACCTCATATAATAGCTTCTAGATTTCATTAAAAATTTACATTGCAGGTCAGTTTCTCATCCACAGACACGATTTCCAAAACGAACCTTCCTACAGACGAGGATCTGATGTGCAGACGGATGAGATGGAACCGAGAGGGTCGTGGTTTTTAAATACCTGGTGCTTTGGGGTTAAGTCACCTCTTTAAGCGTGCGACTAATACTCATCATGACAAAGCACTGGCGAGCAGGTCGAAAGGATCAAACACAATAGAAAGTTAGAAAAAGAAGAAAGGGAGGAGGGGGTAACAAAGCAAAGGTAGATTAAAAAAAAAAAATAAAATAAAGCATCCGAGAAGGCAGCGAGCCGAAACCGAAGCCTTCAAACCACAGAGTTTGGGGTGATTTCAAGAGGAAATAAAGAAGCAGATACCAAAATTAAAAGCAGTTTCTGAGAATGAACTGGGGAGTGTCATCGCCGTTATGGTTTGACTAACAGTGCTGGGAATGGGAGACATGTGCTGGATGTGATGTGCTGCAACACCGTTTGCTTCACCACCGTCCTACTGACACATCTGGATCGGAAGTCTGAGGTGCCAACATTCTAGGTTTTTGTAGATGACAAATGATTTCCCATACGCGAGCCAGTTAGTGAGGCTTTGTAGGGTGGGAGCGGTTACCTCCTCGTCCTCCAGGCGGCGCTGCGTGTCCGTGATGAACTTGATGTACTGGCTGGTGAGAGTCATCAGCTCGCTGTAGCGGGTTCTCAGCGTCACGTACTGAAAGAAACGCAGGATTAACAACAGCTCGTTAACACTTTGGAACTTGTCTGTGAGATGCTCGAGTGGACTCGCTGCTGCAGCTTATATGTCAGACTTTTCGGTCACGTGATCATTTAATCAGACATTTTTTTTAGTAGTTCCTTCATCCAGACTGCAAAAATCTCCCTCCTGCTTCAGTTTTACTTGATGTTTCCTTCAATTTTTATCTTTGTGCAAAGTCCTAATGACTGTTCCTGTAGTTATTGTACAACAATGTGGTTCAATTATGTGTGTTTTTCTAGTTTTATGCTTTTTAACCCCTTGAACTCCAAACAGGACGTTTTTTTTTTCTCCAGTTACCTTTTAACCCATTAAAAAGCAAATAAAAATCAATATAAAGTCCTGCACCTCTACAGAAACATCCCAACCACGACTACAAGGAGAAGGTTTTCTGTGCTGTATGACGCATCATAAAGTGAAAAAACCTGCAATCTGCATCGACCACATTTGTCCCACAGGTTTAATAAACTCAAGAAAACATTTTTTAGCTCTACATCCTGTAGATATTTATTATTGACTTATTTAATTTGGTTTCGTTCTTGCATTTTCTGCCTACAGTTCAACCTGAAACTTCCTGAATCTTTGACTGTTCAAGCTACAAATAACTTCACAGTTGCATCGAAAAGTGCAGAATTTTTTTTTTTATTGGCCAGAATCGAGCACAAATGGTTTATTTTTGGTCAAATTGTTAACCAGACGTGTGACATAAAGTGATTTTGATGAAATGTCCCAATTTTAAGGTTTGATTTGGATTAAAAAATATGTATATTGGGTTTATTTTTGACAGAATTCTGCTTGAGGGATGATAAATTAAAGGATCATCTGAATAAGCTGAAAATCTGATGATTTTTTAATGTTTTTTTTACAGTTTCTATGAAAAATGGTGCAGTTTTGGTGATTTGTAAAGAAAACAACATGAATTTTAAACCCGCTGGAAGGTTTCGGGGCTCAGAGGGTTAAAAAAAAACAAAAAAACAACGACAACGTGAAGCTTCAGTCAGTTCGGTTAACGCACTGTGTTTGGCTCTGACTCATAATCAAGAAGTATTGTGAATCCCCTGCAGCGCTGGCTGATCCCTTCTCCATGAAGACAACAGCTGGGTGGTGTTGGTGCAGCTGTGTCAGAATTAGGGATGAAAACACGATTTCCCAGAAAGTAACGTGAAGTAAATAAAACCTGCATCACCTGGAACACGTCCTCGTCCCGTTAAAGCTCTTTAAGGGTATCGTATGAATATTTATGGCATCAATCTCCCCGAATGTCAAACTTACTCCTCTGAGTTTTATTAAAAGCATCACAACTGAAGCGTGTTTTTAAAGCCTACCTCTTGAATGATATTATCAGATGCACATTCCATTTTGGGTTTCTTAAGAGGAGACGTTATCGGATCCTGCAGAGCTTTGTACGTCAAGATCTGGAGCTCGTAATCCTTAAAAAAAAGAAAGAACACAAACAGCGTGAGTTAACTAAAGGCAGAAAAAAAACACTTTTATTTGTGTAAAGCTGATATAATCAGTGTGTACCTTGACTGAATCGATGTAAGCCTTCGCATTTTTCTGGCAGTTTTCAATCTTGTCCTTGTTTTTCTCGATCTCCTCCAGAAGTTTCTGTAATAAACATAAAAAAAATACATTATGCAACTACTCAAAGCATCTTTTTTGCAGGTTTAGAGTTCAGTTCTGCTTTTTTTCTTCTGCACAAGTCAAACCAGCCAGCAAGTAACCCAAGTCAGTAAAACGTGTGCCTCCACATCGACCACCAGGGGGCGCAGTGGTTCTCCCTTCACCCCACACAGCTTTGCATACCTTCTCCTCTGCCAGCTGCTCCTTGAGGGCCTTGCTGCCTCCGATGGGCACCGCCTGGATCTTCTCCTGCCTCTTCCTCGCCTCTCCGAGCCACTGGATGAGCCACTCGTAGTTTCCGCGGTAGGAGTTCATGTTGCGCCCGAGCAGGTCGAGCTCTCGCTGCCGGAGGTCCATCTGGGCGAACACGGCCTGCCAGCGCTCCAGCAGGCCGCCCACCAGCTGCCGGTAGTGCTCCAGCTCGGCGTCGCGCTCGCTGTGGATCCTCGTCATCTTGTCGTTGACGGCCGACGCCGCCTTCAGCTCGTCCTGCAGCCGGTCGAACACGGCCTGGTCGGCCTCGGCCTCGGCCTGCATCGACTGTCGGGCGAAGGAGGCAAAAGGTCAGGGTTGGTTCAGGGCTGAATAAAAACATCGTTAAACTGCTGAGAGTTCACCTTCAGCTGGCTGCGCTGATCCTCCACCTCCTTCTCGTCGGCCGGCACCTTGCTGACGTCTCTCAGACGAGTCTCGTAGCTCTTCAGGGTGTCTTCTGCGTCTTTAGTGTTTCTGATCACGACGTCAATCGTCTTCAGCCTGAAAAAAAGACGTCGGGTTTAAAAAAAAAAAAAACGCATAAAATCCATCAGCAAGGGCTCAGAGAACCACTAAAGCAACTTATCTCTCCTGGAAATCAATAATGACACAATAAACAAAAAAACTTCATTACAGCAGCAAAGGAAATCGTTCAAACATTCAAGAAACATCAGGAGAGAAATAGAAATAAGCAAAAATATAAATATAAGTGCTAGTTCAGATCCTCCAAACTCCTCTGTGTGTGGAAAAAGTATTCCACGGATTCTTTCATGAGTACAAATACAGATAGAGAAGTATAAATACTGCACAGATGTGTCTGTAACAAGACAAAACACTGAACTGCACAGGTTCTTATACGTGTAGAAAAAGAAATCTCAGCGCTTTATTTTGAAGGATGTTTGAGTTCTTGACATTCATCTTGAGAAGAAAGGAGGTTCGCTGGAGGAACTATGGTCGAGGACGCACTTGAGGCGTATAAAAGGAAAATCCTAACGATGGCAGGAGCAGTACGACAAAACGTGTCTATAGAATGAAAGTCACCCTTATTTGTATCGTAGCGACTCTTTTGTATGTCTCAGATATGTAGGAGATAAGATGAACGAGAAGGAATCGGGTCTCACTTGTCCAGGTAGACGGAGGAGAGGCCGTAGACGTGGTCCATCTTCTTCAGGGTCAGGTCGAGTTCGGAGCGCAGCATCGGCGCCGAGCTCAGCTGCTGAGGCGACGCCAGAACCTCCTCCGTCTTCTCGGCCACCGAGCTCAGGTCCTTCCTCAAGCCCTCCAGCTCCGACTGGACTTTCTGTCACACAGAAAACAACAACTTTTACAACTTTCGGCCGCGTGTTCGAATGGCCGACGTCAACAAACGTGAGCACGACCCGCATCGGTGCTTCTTATGAAGGGTTCAGACTGCAGGAGGTTTATGCTGGAACTGGGATCTTGGTCTAAATCGATGTTCTGCATCAAATACTTAGTAAATTGAAGCATTCATAGATCCAGTCTGAAGAGTTCTGAGCAAAGCCAAACATTCTACATGTTCGTAGATAAATTCATCATGACGTGTAGACTGTCTCCATCACACCTTTATCTTATTTGTAGGATTATTGTACTTTTCTAATAATCTCGTTTATGTCTCGTCTGCATCCAGCTGCTGCCACATGCACATTTCCTGTCTTTTCATTTATCTTATCTTACCTTGAGGCCAACATCGGTCTCAGACCCTTCTCTATTGCTGACACAGTGCAGAACGGTCTGCTGCACATCATTATCATTCTGCTGTTGGGGAGAACAACTTTCTGGCTCGTTTGTATTTCATTAAACCAACCGCAGTCATCTTAGGTGGTGCTAAGGAATGACGTTACCTCAAAATAGCGACGGGAGAAGTGTTTTGGTGCAACATTTGCATGAAGGGAGGCGAGAACTGTGATTAAAATGGATAATTCGCAAAAAAAAAACCTTCATCCAAACGTTTCTTGGACTTTTTTTTGTTGCTGTTTCCAATAGTGACTTGGGTTTTGAAAACAGTACCATGCTGAGAGTGGAAGGGGAAGAGAAAATGATAAATTTCCTGCTTATCCCCGTGGTCTACATCCTTGGAGTCAGGCTAGGCTAAAACAAGGCTGTTAAAACGAACAGTTCACATCTCACCTCCAGTTCTTATTGAACAATAAGCAACCTGTGTTGGCGGCTTTTTTCCCACCAGACTGGTTTCTGGTTTTCTTTATTCTAACTGCACAGCGCTACAGATTGTTGTTGCGCCACAGTCTCCATTTAGTTTCCATCTGTTTCCCATGAAATCACGTGTCGTGCCGCTCTGCTCCCTCCGGTTCACTAATCCTAACATTATCTGTAGTGTGTGATGCACCATTATTTTATATTTTATAGTTTTGGAAAGAAGAACATCTGTCGAGTTTCTCCTTAAGTGCATCTTGTTTTTAAGAATCGGTTGGGATTATAAAACTCTGTAAGACTGAGCCCGTCTTCAGTGGAGTCTCCTGACATTCCACCCACACAGCAAACTATTGTGCTCTGACTTATTTAGCAGCACCCACAGGGCCTGTTTTCATTTGCATTTTTTTGCCTCCTTTGTTGATCATTTTTTTATTACCAAGCAATAAATAACTTTGCAAAAACATCTGGTTTCTATCTGGCGTCCCACATTCCTGGCTGAGCTGGGAAGAGTTTAATTCCGGTTATTCCCTTCCCCGTCTTCGTGCGGCGTTTACCATTTGCTCGGCCGTCTTGGCGGCGCAGGCTCTCAGCGGCTCCTTGTCCACCGGCTGCCGGAGACGCGTCACCGTTCGATTCTCGCAGCCCTCCAGCCTCAGGCGAAGGTCCTTGATCTTCGTCAGGTAGGTCTTACAGACGGACTCGTCCTGCTCACCTGGTCGGAAGGAAACGCAGCGAAATGGTAGCAAAGTCTGGAAATGTGTAAGATTTAGCTTTGAATATCAAACAGTTGCATGAAAATACGACGTAACTAACAAAGGTGCAGGATTAGTTGTGGGATTATTTACAGAATCGACTGTAGTAGTTTTTAACTGAAGCCCCAAAAACCACCAGGGCTTTAGCACGATTACTACCCATGATTTATTTTTATTTTTTTGCACAATCTGTATTTACTTTGTCATGCTTAATTCAATATTTCTCAAGTGTTAAATCATCAGCTAATAGATTTGTTCATAAACCGATTAATTCCAGGAATCAGCTGCCATGAAACTCATGCACACAGAGACACAGAGAATGCAAGTGAAGTTAGGATGATGACGACCAGAGTCTGAGGATGGAGTTAATGCGTGAAGTGAAACGTGACAGCACAGCAGCCCTCATTGCACGAACACACACTCTCTCTAATTCAGCCAATCAGAAGAAGCTCGTCGGCCGCTTTAACTGAAACTCCTTACCTGCTCTGGGCGGCGCAAAGTCTGCAAACGTGAATCCGACAGTCAACTTAAAAACGCAAATGACTGAGTTCCAACTCAAATGCATGAGAGGTGATCAAATGTAAATATGAGTGAAAGTGTTTCTGGTGTTTGTTTTTTTTTTTTTTGGTGAAGCCCACCTTGCTCTGCAGACGTGACCATGGTGTTGTAGTGCTGGTTGGCTCGGTTGTAGTTGGACTCCACCTGCATTCGGTCCTCGGCTCCAAACATCTGGGAGTCCTGACTGTCCCTCAGGAAGTCCTGGTAGTGCTGCTCCAGGTTCCTCAGCGCCAGCCGGTACTCCTCCACCCTCAGCGTCTTGAACTGCACGTGGACATTCAACAGCGTGAGAACTCGCTGCTCGATAGAATCAACGTTTTTCTACATGTACAACAACCCTGTGCAACATTTTCCACAGTTAAAGGAACCTCAGCCATTTCTACATATAGAAGAATCTGTGCAATATTATCAATACTTGTGTGTATTTCTTGCTTACTTCATATTTTTCTATTAAGGTTCCCGATGTTTTGCTCTATTCTGCTGCTGCAAACCTGCAAATTTACCCACTGTGGCATCAATCAAGGCTTTTAAAAAAAAAACAAAGACCAAAACGGATCCACCAGAGACTTCAACATCTTGATCTTTGGCTCCTGGTTTGGCTAATTTTTTTTAAAATTATTACAGTAAGTTTATGGAGAGTATAAAGAATGGAGAACATCATTTTACTGGCTTCACTTCTGGTCTTTTTCGTGCCAATATTTGTCCACTCATTGGTTATTCTTGAAAATGACACCTCTTTATCTTAATTACCTCAGTTAAGACTCTTCAATGGGTCTGTAAAGTTATTAAGGGGAAATAACAAACGTTTACATGTATTGCTGACTGTTAGAAACACACCTGACCTGCCTGTTTAGAAGAAAATCTGCTTCTAAGATCAAGTTTTTCTCCTGAAACACTGCTACAAACCTGTGTAATATCATTTATAAAATTCAATCAGCTTTTGGCTCGATGCCTCTTTTCTGTCGGCGTCGTGGGAATTCGTCACGACAAGCAGCAGTCGGAGTTCACCTGACGTGAGCTTTAACGGCTGCAGGCGCGTGAACTCGCCGAGCAACTCGCTGCACCGGAGCTCCACCTTCATCACCGCCTTCTTCAATCAAAATTATACGAAGCAAAAGTTGTCTGATTTATTCAGCGGAAAGAGAAGATGAACAAATCAAACTGGTTCCTCGATCCCTGTGTTTCTAGTCCTCGTCCTGTTGCATTTTTATTGCTTTCATCTGTGAAGCGCTTGGCGTCATATTTCATTCGTGTGAAAAATGCCAAATAAATAATTGATGGATTGACCTCTGATCAGCTACTTATGATGCCGTCCTGACTTCCTTCCCCAGGCAGTGTCACCTCCACTCACACCTTTGGTTGTGTAAGTCTCAGGTGAACAAGCTTTGACTTTCCAGTTGTTGGCCAGGTGATAATAATAAATATCTGTCATTTTGAACCAACGTCTTCAAGAACTTTGGATTTTTTAGTGATTTCAAAGCCCTGTTGGTTAAAAAAAAACACCTCTTGTGGTACATTTTTTTAAATCTACGTATTGTGTTGTTACCATGGTGATGTTCCAGGTGTTGATCATGTGGATGTCTCTCATCAGGTATTGCCATGACAACAGGCTCTTCATGTCCACAAACATGGTCTGCCACATGGTCTGCAGCCGCTGGAGGTTTCCGTCCAGCCTGCGGGAGGAAAAGGTGGAGGTCAGCCGTCTGTGCCGGCGTGTTCGGGGGTTTTAGGCGCAGTTTTATCTCGTATTCGGAGTGTTTACCCGGCGACGCTGTTCACTGCGTCCTTATTGGTCGGAGGAACCAGGAAGCAGATGGATGGAACGGACGCCTCGCTGCCTTTGTCGTTCAGAACCCTCCACTTGTGGGGCTGAGAGTTGTTCAGCAGAGCGCATTCGTCTCCTCTGTGGACGGTGATCTGGAGGGAAAGCACACGTCTGACTGCTATCCTATCTATTCTTTAAAACAATATATGCAATTTTACATCAATCAAAGCTGCATTCATTTTTACATTCTGGCCACAAACATGTTTGGAATCTCACCTCCATCTGCTTGAAGTCACAAACCGCCTGAATCGGCTGTTTTCCTTTTATTGGGGTTGCAGGGTTTCGCGGTTTCAGCTGGATGACGGTCTTGGCTCTTCTCTTCAGGCCTTCCAGGTGAGTTTTAAACTCATTCAGCTGCTCTTTCTCGTCCTGTGAGGAACACACAGGTGTCATATGTAGGCGGGGAACGTTTTCACCACATCAAACTGTCACTTTTAGAACAACTTTCAGATCTTGTGGCATCACAGCACTGAATACGACAAATGAATAAAACCACAGTTATTGAACCCACCGCAGCGTCCTGCAGCAGATCCTCCAGCCGGGTGACCGTGATCGAGCGGTCGCACGTGTACTTCCTCTTCATCGTGTCCTGCATCTTTTTAATTCTGTCCTCCGCCTCTTTAACATCAGAGAAAAACTAGACAAAGGAGACGCAAGTGGAGAAGTTAAGAGGTTGTGGAGGTGTTGCCTTGTATGTAGAGACCAAAGCGGAACAGATTTAAAGAGAGAAGTTAACTCTTAGCGACCACATTAACCCTCTGCATCCCTGGTTTTCTTTAAAAATCACAACATTCATCAGAGCCAGAAAATGCAAAACCTTTTGTGCTGATTGGTGGAGAAGCTGAACCAAATCTGAGCCTAAAATAGTAAAATTTCATAAAAGCCACTTTAGTCTCCATGCAACATTAAAAAAAAATAAAAATAAAAATCACCAAAAAAAAACTGTTAACTTTAACCAGATTGTGTGAAAAAGAAAAAATTCTGCACTCCTCGATTCAACTAAGAAGTCATGAGCGACTCGGCTGTGACCGACGGCGACACGACAAAAATTCAGGGACTTTTTCGGCTGAACTGCAGGCAGTGTTCACAGAGAGCAGATAGAATCAAGTGGAAGCAAATTTAAAATGTGAATAGTAAAATATCCATAACATGAAGAGCTGCTTGTTGCAGTATTGGTACCATATTAGGACACCTGGAAAAGTGTTGTACACGTTAATTCCAGGTTCTTTGAATTAATGCAAAACAAGCAGCCAAAGAAATGTAGTTAATGAGTTCTGTCGTTCTGACTGTGTCCCGCTCCACATTTCTGTTTCCATACTAGGGCAGGACTTTATACTGCAGAGAAAAATGAGCCCCAGAAGCTGCTTGGAGTTCAGAAGGTTGTGCGATAAGCCGCTGAACGTACCTGGAAGTAGGCGGTGTTTTCTTTCAGGTGGGTCTCGATGCAGCAGCACAGCTGGAGGATCCAGCTCCACTGGGTCTGCAGGGCTGCAGTGAACGCCTGGTGGAAGGAAGAGCAGCACGGATGAGGGCAGAAAGGTTGTTGATGACTAAATCAAAGTTCCTACAGGGTGACGTGCATAAACTGTGGCGGCGAGTCCAAACCTCCACGGTCTTCCTGGCAGGGTGTCCGTCCCTCAGCAGCTTGTCTCCTGTGGCCTGGACGCCGTTCATCTTCTTTTCCCTGAGCTCCAACTCTCTCATCAAACCCTGACGCACGGAAACAACAACCACAGTCAACATCGTCATCATCACTCGAGAGCTCTGAGGTTAAGAGAACGTCGCTCCGTCACTCTACCGAGTAGTTTTCTTTCTTGGCGGCCATGTTGGTGTTCCGGTCGCTCCAGTCGTAGTTGACCTCCTCCTCCTCCTTCTCGTTCAGCCACATCAGCTCTTTGGTCGCCGAAGTGACGAAGGCGTGAAGCTGGTCCAGGTAACGGAGGCGAGCCTTGGAGGCGTTCTGCAGAAGAGCAGATGTCACGTTAAGAAACAAGATGGCGGTACCGGTTACTTCAAGACATTCAATTAGACAAAATCAGCCTCATGTTGTTAAATCGCAACATGAAGACAGAATGGAAGCAGCTTTGCACATTTAATATCAACATACACACTTCTATGAACAGCAGCTGTTGTTCCTACCAATGAGTCCACGTCAACATTCTGTCAAAACATCTAAAAACTGGAACCATATTTACCACAAATCTAATCCTACTGACATTAGAGGTTTTAAAAGTTGGTGGAATGTCGACCAAAGTCTGTATTTTTAGTAGGAAACATGGCTCCATCCATTCATATACACTTTCTGGGGTCCCAAAAGTCCCATTTTCAAGGACCGATAATTAACAGTTTGTCCTCTGCTCGAGCCGTCTAATCATTTGAATCTTCTGAAAACAATTCTGTTAGTGTCCTCACCAAATGTCATGGCTGTGGGAGTTACAGTTCTGGAGATACTGAACCTTTAAAACGGGTTTCCCAAGCAAAACATTTTGGTAGAGGGTCTGAAAACATGAAATTCTCAAAATTCTGCCAAAATATATAATATATATGTTTTTACAGAACTTAGGTTTAGCTCCCAAATAACAAATAAATAAACTCTGAACAAATTCTGATAATATTTCCTGAATTCACTGATTTGACTTGGACTGACCCTCCCTGCTTTATCATCTATTGTACCATAAATGGGACCACAACCTACAAAACTAACTAACTGCTGTATTGAAGGAGGCTTTAAATTAGTGATTGAGACCATAAACTCATTAGGAAAAAGCTTACTGAGGCAATAAATCATCATAGACTTCTACACAATCTAAATTCTTTTTGCAACCAGAGGAGTCGCCCCCTGCTGGATGGTAGAAAGAATACAGGTTTAAAGCTTCACTTTTCAGATCCAGAGGCTACATCCATGTTTTAAACACAGTCCCAGTATGTTTTATGTCTAATGCAGTACCAGAACTACAAACACTGATTGCACTTGTAAGCAGCATCTAACAGAATGCACTGAAAGGACGACGTGTGCAATGTTTAAGTGTTTGGGTTTTAATTTTAACTTACCAGCAGTTTGCCGTACTGCAGCTCCAGTTTTCCCAGATAGTCGCGGTAGGCGGCTTTACTTGCAGGTGAGATCTGGCTCTGGAGCAGATAGAAGGAAGTAATTAGAAACAACAATCAATCCGTTTTGCACTGAGATGAATAAAGAAAACTGCCTCTAAAGAGATCATGTTGTTCTAGATCCAACACTGACACTATGTGCCGAAGTAAAAACAACAACATAAAGTCTTAATGTGAATAGAAAAGGAGGGAAAACTGCTGCTAATGCTTCAGAGTGCACGTTAAAAACAAGCTGTATTAAAGCAGATCGTGTCTTGACCTCCTTTTTTGGAAGTGCTGCATGAGCACTGGGAGCAGAACATCGCTGCACAAGCAGACTGATTTTTGCTATTTAAAGGTTTAATCTCACAACTTTTTGATTGCATCTTGCACAGTGGATTACGTTGACAAATTGTCTCATCTCTACAGCAAAGTCGTGCATTCACGTGTTTCAGTCTTTACATGAGCACGACTTTGGTTTAGGTTGAGAAAAGTTGTGAAACTGAACCTATATAGAGCAAAAACTGGTTGGAAAACCTCTGAACTTTGGCTGCCGTCCCTGTAAAAGTCTTTACTTCCTTGTGCAGCCATACTCTGCTCCCAGGGCTCGTGCAGCACTTGCAGAAAAATGCACCTTCATACACTTTGTTTGCATCCTGTATTAGTTGTTTTCCCTCTTTTTTTTCTATTTATATTACAACCTTATTTTGTTGTCCATAAAAAATCCAAGACTTTTGATATTATCTGAGATCATCCTGCTCCTAGTTCAGTATCAGACGTTTTCTTAAACACAACTGCTGAACAAATCTGAGCTGCAGTGACTCAGAGTCTGGACCCAGACCGACCTGCTGCTGCCAACAGTTTGCAGTTTTCCGCTACTTTTAAAATGTTTTCCCCTGAACGTACCTCGTCGGCTTTGGCCCTCTCGATCTTGGAGCGGAACTCCTCCACGGACTGGTGCAGGCCTCGGTGGCTGCCCAGCTGCGACTCCACGGTGGGCAGGTCGGAGCCCCACTCGCCGTCGTCCACCCGCCGCTGGTTCTCCTCCACCCAGCCCAGCAGGTCCTGGATGTAGCGCATGGTGACCTCGTCCAGCTCGGGCCGGACCCGGAGCGGCGCCTGCTGCAGCACCTGGGCGCTGTGCACCTGAGTCATGTGGACCTGCGTCATGGGGATCTGCTGGGTGGTCACGCCCGACTTGAGGCGGAGGTTGTACTCGCTGCGGAGGTTCACCAGCCTCTCGTGGAGGCGATAAACTCTACAGACAGAACCAGGACCAACAAGATGAGTCGTCATTTCTTTACATCTCGTGTAATTCACTGCTTCTCACATGTTAGGATTTTCTTGTTTTATGTTATTGTTTAATGAATGTTTTTTGGTTTTTGGACTTTTTATTTGACCAAAAAAAAGAGAAAAAAAGCAGTTTCACCGAATTAAGTCTTTGATTAAAACTAGCAGTGCTCTCACTGATGCTGCTTATTGATCCAACACTCTTATTAGTTCTTATCTTTAATTTCTAAACAGAAAAAAACAAAAAAAAAGTAATAATTAAAGCTGCTCTATTTTTTCTCTCACTCTTTGGTTGTAGGGGACAAAATGAGTGCAGATTTTGACAATATTTTTACTTGTTTTTACTTTACTTTACTTGGAAATGTTCTGTTAATTTATGGTGTAAATCTGAAAAATGCCAGTCCAGTAATATTTGGCAATTAAAATTAAACTTTTCTGTCAGTTAATAATGAACTAACAGTGACAAAAACCTGCTTTAATTAAAGTTTTGTAATATCTTCTGTGATAAAAACTGTTTTTTTGATTATTTTTTAATTATCTTGTCACATTTCCTTTAAAATACTCAAATGAAATTAAAGAAAAATGTGTTGTTGTTTTTTTTTAAATCTCTAATTTATTCCAAGTTTGCTGAGTCATTACATTCTCTCTCAGTGTCATAAAGACATGAAGCTGATAATAATGCGACTCTAAAACAGAAATACACTGAAGACTCAAACACTGTGGACGTTTTCTGTTCAAATATACAACTGTTCATGTACAGATATTTTTAGTGTTTAAGCGACATCTGCATTTGTGGCAACGTTTATTTACCAACAATTAAAAGATCTTCTTCATTTCTGAAGTGACAATAACAGAACCGATAACGTTGGAGCTTATTGAAGCCCATCCTGAGGTTTAATATCAGATGTTTGCAGCCTTCCCTTCCTGCAGCCCTGATTTCAGTCAGTACTCGTGTAACGTGTTGCAGAGACTTTGAAGTTCATCCGTTCCGTACCTGCGATACATCTGCTCGGCCTGTAGGTGGCGTCCGTCTTTGAGCAGCTGGACGTCGTTGAAGAGGAAGCGGATCATTCCTTCTGCTTTCTCCAGATCGGCCTCCACCTCGCCGGTGTGCTGAGGAGGTTTCCCCGAACTCATCATCCTCACGTCCTGCGGCACAGATCGCATTTTAAAAACTTTTATCGATATTATTTTAAAAAGTTTTTAGCTTATGCATTTTTTCCTTCTTTTTCCCGTCACTACTGTGTATCTGTTGTTTAGAGGTTCAGATCGATAGCAGTTGTTTGTAATTGCAATTTTGTTTCTGTGATTTTCTTTGTAGCTGCAACAGCAACGAGTAACATGTTCCTCAACAACATCCTCTTTTATTCATCGTTGTACAACATCTGCATATCTTCAGGATTTCATATCCTTCTTTACTTCCTTCCATAAATTTAAGCAAAAATTATACAAAAGTGCTTGAATTTCTGTTTTATTTTAAGCAATGGTGACTTTGCATACTAGACATTTAACTACATTTTTGCTCTCTGCTTTGACAGATGTGTCACCGTCAGCTGGATGTATCGTCCAACGACTGGCTGCTCTGTTCTCTGGTTCTGAGCCACGCTGCATTTATGTTATTGATCCAGTAGGTTGGATTTTCCTCTCAGTCTAAAAGTGTCCAAACTGACCCAGAATTTGTCCAGAAAAAAAAAGCCTATTTTTGAATAATTATTGAGAATGTGAGTAATTCTGGACAACTTTTGAGTCTCTGCTCATCGGCCGCAGAAAGATGTTCAAGATCTCCAACAATGTGCTCCTCTGTTCGCTGCTTCTGAGTCGTGCTGCACTTATTTTATCGATCCAGCAAGTTTTATTTTCCTCTCAGTTCCTCTTGTCGTCTCAAAAATTCTCTAAATTTGTGTCATGTGACCACAACGTGAATCGCAGTTGAGGAGCTGAAGAGCATTTTCACAAAATCACGTTGGTGCAAATAGTTTATTTTGGGCTTTTTTTTTTTTTTTTTTTTAAAAAAGAGACATGCAGAATAAATTGATTTTGATGCAATTTAAGCTAATTTTTGCCTGTTTTTCCCTACGGATCAGCCGACATTCAGTATTTTTCCGATGGCCTTTCTGGTATTTCTATGGAACCGATTCCGACGTCGGTTGAAGATCGGATGTTTTAACGTATTTGTAATAAATAAAAGTTTCTTCTTCGAAAACTGAAAGTGATTCTGGTCATTCTGTGGTCGTGAGCGATGTCCCGTTAGGAGTTAACGAGTTAACGAGTAACAGCCAATAAAAGAATAAATGTCAAAAAGCTCTTAATCAAACGTAAAACTGCATTTCAGAAAAGTTGTGTGTTGAAGTTTGCGTTCTTCTTAATTGTGGCACCAAGACTTCCGATTTTTACCGCAAATTTATCGCATCGTTTCCAAACATCTGTCATCGTTTTGCTTGTTTGCTGATAATCGGTACCGGTATCGGCCCTGTAAGTCGGTCGCCCTGCTCTGGTTCATGTCTCACCGTCTGCAGCAGAGTCTCCACCTGGTTGAGCTGCTCCTCACAAACCCCCGACTCCATCTGGACCTTGCTGACGATCCTTTGCAGCCGCTCCAGCCTGCAACACAGAAGCCAGAGGTCAGAAAGGTGTGCAAACACTGAAGAAACCGCTGGGAGTTAGAGGACATCCATCTGCGTTTTTCATAATTAGCAGACGAAAGAAAAACTCACTCTGTCCTGTGGCGGAACAAATACTTAGCATCATATCCCTGATGCATGAAAGCCATGATGAAGTCTGTGAAGTTCTGCGTGTTCACTGATAAAATCAACTTTCTCAGCTCCTGCTACGACCAAAGTGCCTCGCCCAGTTTATGGGCGACTATCAAAAGATGGTATTATTGGGAGACGGTTGCCACGGCGATGGCACAGCTGTCATGTGTTTGGCCCGGCGTGACGCCGACTTCCCGAAGCCACAAAAGCCGACTCAGTTTCACTTTAAATGCCTCATCATGAGGAGGTGAGTCACCCTCGGTTCCTCAACGCTCTGCGGTTTTTGTAAAAATAACACACTTGCTTTGGCAACACCGAGCATGTGACGGCTTGGCCCGGTATCCACGGTTACCTCTCGAACTCGGTCCTGAGGAGACGCTCTCGCTCCAGGATGGCGACGTGCAGACGACCCCACTCCTTCTCCACGTCGAACGGGTGGTAGCCGGGCGGCACCTTGACCTGACCGGCCTGGACGGCGCCCTGCAGGGTCGCAGACACAACAAACTGGAGTTAACCCTCTGGACCCACTGGTTCTTTAATCACATACTCACTCATTCTGGGCTCATTTCTCTCTGAAATACAAAATCCTGCACCTCTATGGAAACAGAACAACCATGACTAGAAGCAGAGAGAACTCCGAGATGTCTCCTGTGCAGTTTGACACAGTTAGAAAGTTCTATGATTTTGCTTGATTATTCTTTTTACATAAATATAGAAATCCTTGAAAAAATGGGCGGCTCTTCAAATTTTAAATATTTTACTACAAGATAATTATATTTGCTTCATAGTTCAGAAAAATAAACTACTGCAATGTCAGTTTGTTTCTATTATCCTGAAGGCTGAACAGAAAAGAAACACCAAAATATTAAAATATGTAAATTGTACGATGAAATATTGTTTTGCTGGAGATAAATATCAAACTTTAATATCGAATGTTAACATTTTGCTCCTATTGTGGTTTTAAAAAGGTTCCTCTTCATACTATAGATGTCTTACTACTATTTAAGTTTTCCTCCTCTCTGCTCGGTGCAAACTCTTCCTGCAGTTCAGCCGAAAAGTGAATTTTTGGTTGTGCAGGATTTTTAGTTTTGTTTTTCAAGCTCACTGTTTTTCTTTTTGTTTTTTCAGGATTTTTAAATGACACATGTCGGATAAAATGTCTCCGTTTTTAGCTTAGATCTATAAAATGACTCTTTGACACAGTTATAATACCACATAGCCCCAAAAATGCAAAAACTAATCATATATTTTACAACATTTTTAAAATCTAGAACGAACACGTGCAACATTTGACATTTTACTTTGAAACCGGCACAGAAACAAACACATTTTCTCCACATGTTGCATAAAATAAAAAGCTCTAATTTGATATTTATTCCATCTTACGCTGACTTTTATTTTCTTAGAACTTCAGTCCCGCTTTAAGGTTTTATATTTGATAAGTTTACAAACTGGAACTTTTAAATAACAAGTTTCTTTTTTGAGCTCCTCACATCTCAGATCTTTGCACGGATCTAGAATAAAGAGCTCGCGGTTTGTTTTGTGGCAGATTTTTAAGTGATTTCGATGAAATGTCGCAATTTTCAGTTGAGATTTGGTGAAGTTTGTCGACCAAATGGCTGTTTGACACAGTTATAGCGCCAGAAATCAGAAAAAAGACAAACAACAGTGGATTATTATTTTTTTTTTATCATATAATTTACATAAAACTTTAAACGGTAGAATAAACACATGTGACCTCTTTTTTTTAGGAGTCCACAGGTGCTACCAACACACGACACATTCACAATCTGTCGGAAAGTCAGAAATCTGTCAACTCTCAGGGTTTTTTTTACAGTTTCTGATTGACAGATGGTGTCGTTTTAGCAGTTTGAACCTGCCTGAATACATTTGGTGATTTTTTTTCATTCGACTGCTGAGTCATTCTTTCTCTCGAATGTTTTTTGCAGGATGTAGTTGATGCAGATGGTGTATTTTTGTAGAAATATTGCAGTTTGAAGCTTATTGTTTGTGCATTTTTCTTAATGGAACTGTACATCACACATAAAACATCCATGAACTACCAGAAAGTGTAAAATCTGATCATTCTTTCCTTTTGTTTTCACCGTTTCTTGCTCTGATAACTGGTGGAGTTTTGCTGTATTTTTGAAAAGAAACTAAGAATTTCAAACCTTGCTGATGTCGACCAGCGTGATTTATATAAATGAGAAATCTCACCTCAAAAGACTTGAAGATGTGTTTGGATCGGTTCTTGTCGGCCTCTTTAGCAGGAAGCTCCGTTTCCTTGAACTTCAGAAACTGACGCCAGAGAACCTGCAGGTAAAACAAAGACCAGTGAGTAAACTCATCGTCTTCTTCTTCGTGTGTCTCGTCCGGCGCCACCGTCTCACCTCGATCTCCTCGTAGCTTGTGGGGAACTTCTTCTCCTCGAACACCAGGATGTGGTGTCGGATCCACTGCAGCAGCATGGTGACCAGCTCGTAGTACTCCTGCCAGCGCAGCTCCAGCTCCTGAAACACCAGTTCAGGGTTAGGACAGGTTTCAGGTTCACATCAGACAGTTTTACTAGATGTTTGTATTCATCCTGGGCTCATTCTTCACTGCAGAATAAAGTCCTGCACCTCTATGGAAGCAGAACAACATGGAGGAGGAGCGAGAACGTAATTAAACCTTAATAATGCTTTAACGGGTGTACAGGCCGCCTGCAGTTTAGTTGAAAAGTGAATTTTTGTCACATGACTGTTAGTCACAACAGAGGACTAAAAGGCTTCCTGGTTGTGCCAAGCAGTGCAGAATTTTTTGTTTTTCACACAATCTGGTTAAATAAAACAGTTAATTTTTGGCAATTTTTTTAAACAAGACATGTAGGAAAAAGTGATTTTAATAGAATTTTTGGTGAAGTTTCTCTATAGAATGGCCGTACGGCACAGTTATAATACCATAAAGCCCCCGAAATGCCAAACTAATCACATATTTTACAACATTTTTGAAATCTAGAACGAACACGAGCAACATTTCACATTTTACTTTGAAACCAGCACCGAAAGAAACATATTTTCTCCACATGTTGCATAAAAACAAGCTCTCATTGGACATTTATGACGTTCATTTTCTAAGGTTTAATTTTTGCTAAGTTTACAAACTGGGACTTTTAAATAAATAAATCCTTCGTTTATTTTTTGACCGCCTCACGTGCGCTGATCTAGAACAAAGACAAACAGATGGTAATGACTCACGTTGGCTCTGACGCCGTCCTGGACGTCCGGTACTCGGGGCATGGCGTCGTACAGCGAGGAGACGTACGTGATGATGGATTTCTCATCTGGGTGGGCAACGTCCACGTCTGCAGAGGAAAAAAACAGACCGTGAGGCTGCAGGGAAATCAAGAATGAAATGCAAATGTTTATCATGCAGCTCAAATAGAAAATAAACACCAAAAATATTAAAATAAGCAAAATGTAGGTTTAAAATGACAAACTATTGTTTTGCAGAAGATCAATAGCGATCTAGAGCTGCTAAGATGTAGATTAGAAGAAAAAAAACACTGTTCTCCATTAAAGCTGGTGGACTTGGTGGCCTTCATCAGTGTTTTGTGGTCAGAACGTGTCTAGAAGCAGGTTGTGCGTCCGTTAAACTGACCTTCGGGGTCCAGCAGGCAGGTGACGCCCAGCTCCCGGTCGGCGACGCTGAACGCCTGCTCCAGGTTCTCCTGGTTGCTCTGCCGGTACACCTGGCTCATGTCGATCAGCGTGGGCCTGTGGGCGGCGATCAGACAGGGAGACCCGTGAGCTTATTACGTCTAAATCACGTCTGACAGCAGGATAAACGTCACTGTCGTCACCTGCAGGCTGCACCTGACGTCTCTGTTTCTGCTTTTTCTTTAAAGATGAACGGATTGTCATGGCCAGCAGCTAGAGCTCAATGTGACAGTTAGCTTTTTGAATATCCGCCTGAATCCTAAAACCCAGTTAGAAAGGCATGTGTTCTTTTTTTTAAGTGACATTTATCGAAACTTTAGGATTTCCTGACGGTCTGTGAACGCATCACGTGTGACTCATTTTGCCGGTTCTGTCCAATCACACGACGAAATCTAAGTTTGAAACTGAAATATTGAATAGAAATCAGTTTATTCCTGCTTCAGTCACAAATTTGCCCATCGCTAATTTTCCTGTTTCAAAGCTAATTTTGTCTTTTCTACTTCATGTTTACATTTTACTAGAGTACTTATTTTTTATTTCAGTGCACTTATTTGCTTGTATTTTTATGTATGTGTTGCTCTTGTCTTACAATTATTATTTATTAGGCTATAAAAAAAAATAAAAAAAAACGTGACCTTAGTACCAATTTCATTCCACAAACATGTAAATGTGAGCTGGCTTGACAATAAAAGTTCCTTGAATCCAAAAGATAAACTGCATAAAAATAAAAAATCTCTGCTCCTGAGCAAAACTGTGATATTTCTTTAAAAATTCTCCCAAAAATCAACCATGACGAGATCCTGCGAATGACGAAAAATTCAGTTTCACGTGGCAAAAATTCTAAAAGTTTCCAGGCATGTATATGAAAAAAAATAAAAAAGGAAAATCACAAAAAAAATTACGCTAAAAAAAAAAAAAAAAAAGAAAATCACAAAAAATCTGCCATTTATCAGAACCAGAAACTGTAAAACCAGACAGACTTTAGACTTTCCAACAGTCTTTAAATGTATTTCGTGCAGTACCTCATGTTTCCACCAGGGGAAAAACAAACACAAATTCGATTTAAACTATGATATTGCATTCAAAATTTAAAAAAATATAATATAATAAAATAAATTGTTCACACCAAACTATTCTGTAAAAAAAACCTCCTAACGAGAAGCTACGATTCACTGCGACCGCTCGGCTGAACTGCAGGCGGTGTGTCCACAGAGCAGCCAGGAGACCAAGATAAACCCACTGGGTCAATAAAACAAACGCAGCGTGGCTCAGAAACAGTGAGCAGAGGAGTAAGTGTCTGGAGGATGCATCCAGCAGGTGATGGAGCTGATGAGCAGCGCAGACAGAAAACATGTGTGGAGGCTGCGAACAGTTAAATCTGCAGCATGAGGAGGCATTTCTGAAATGTTCTCCAGGATTACTAACACCTGTTGAAAAAATGTCCGACATGTTGACTCCAGATTTGTTCCATTTTTGTGACATAATTAACCAAAGAGATTCAGTTTTGCCTGTTTTTTTTTTTTTTAAAGGATTCATTCTGTCTGTGTTGCGATGCTCAGAAGACATTCCTGAGCGCTCCCTCCTCCTCCTCCTCCTCCTCCTGCTCGGTGTTGTTCTGTTTCCATGGAGACGTTACGCCGATGAGCCAACAGCGAGGAAAAATGTGACCGAAAACTGACCACTTCTCTCAATAACGCGTCCAACAAATGCCTCTTAAAACTTTCCGCAGTAAAGATAATTAGTTTTGTCTTGGCGACTGTTTAAAAAACTCCCCAAAAATGTTCAGCTTCTGTCGTGCAACGAGAAAGAAAAGCAGAATGCGTGATGCTTAAATAAAAAGAGCAACAATCACGACTGCTGCAGGTTTCTAAAACACACATGTGGCATGTTTGATGACTAACGTAGCTGCAGGCAGCTCGATCGTTCTCCTCCTGACCATAAAGGGCAAGCAACGACACGAACGACTAACCGAGCAAATTCAAATTCCCCCGATCAGGTAATATACAAACAGGACACTTTGCCAAGAAGATAAGTGCTCTAATGACATGCAGCAACAAGCTCAGAGCATCTCATGACTCCGACGGGGATAAAGATGAACCTCATGCACACAGAAACAGCTCAGAACTCTGCTTGTTTGGGTTTTTTCTTTCCGTACACTTGCACCACTCTCTGCAGGTAGTACTCCCTCCGGGCCGGCTCCCTCTCCACGTAGCAGGCCTGCCGGTAGGACTGCCGGTCCCTGCTCAGGTGGATGACCTGGGACTCGGACCCCGACTCGGGCTCCTCGCTCTGGGAGCCCCGGCTGGAGCGGACCCGGCGGCTGCGGAGGCTCTGCGCCGAGTCCAGGGAGCTCTCGTGGGGGATGTCCTCGCACAGCATGATGACCCGGTCCTCCAGGTCGCTGACGGAGCCGGCGGTGCTGCTGGAGGCGCTGTTGAGGCGCCGCTTCGAGTGGAACTTCCTCTTCAGGTTGTACATGGTGGCGACGGTCACGTTAAAACCACAAAAGCTGAAGTTTTTGCAAGAACGCGGAGCTACAGAGTCATACTAGATCCACTTGTGGCTCCGGCTGCCTGCTGTTGCTTCCCGTCACAGCAGCAGCTCTCTGCACATCCTCCTCCTCCCGATCGCAGAAGGAATCTGTGGCGGAGCACTCAGCGCACCAGCGTTTTGCTCCGACCTGCCAAGCCTCCGCCGAGCGTAGCTCCAGGGCAGCTTTTTCCCTCGAATCACAGCGATACACCCAACCAGGGAGGGAAGAGAGAAGCTTTTCCACGCAGCGCTGCCAGCTCTGCCTCTGAACTGTGCTGCAGCTCTGAGTCAAAGCGCTGCTCCACCCAGAGCGCCTGTTTATGAGCGCTGAGTCGCCTCTTGAAGGCTGCAGGAGGTGGACGCTCAGCGCTGGTTTCCTCAGCAGCTGCGGTCCGCCCGAGTTCCTCAACTCGTGTGGCGAACAAAACAAGAGACTCCCTCTGAAATATGATTAGCTGGAGCTCCTCCGACTGTTTGGAGGCGAACACATGCGCAGCAGAGAATTCAAAACGCGCTGCAGAAGACAAAGTGGAGGAATGTTCTGCGGTGACTTTAATTCTGTTTACCAGCAAAGAAACTTCATCAGCGATGAAAACAGCAGCAGCAGCAGCAGCATGAGTTACAGCCGCAAAAGTTCACTTTGAATTCATCAGTCAGAAGCAGAAGAAGATAAATCAGGTCCAAGAGGAGGTGAACCAAGAGCTGCTCAGTTTGTCAGACAGGCAGCAGAAACACCGACAGGACGGGACTTGTTAAATCACTTTCTACAGCAGATACTTAATGTTTACGGGTTGCACTGTAAAAAAAAAAAAGAAGGAAAAATGCCAGACAGGGAGCCAGAAATAATATCCTGCAAAAACAGTGTCATGCTGTACCGTATGAAAATAAAGACAAATATCTGTATAAAAGTGATTTAAAAACAGTAAAATAGTTTCATTTGAAGGTTATTATTATTAGCTTCGCTGTCGAACGGAGCGATACAGGAATTTCTTCCTGCCAACAGCCATCACCTTAAAAAACAAATTTGACTGACTGAATGATTGTTGTTGTTTTATAGAATATATATTATATTGATTTAAAAAAAAAAAAAAGTGAGCTTTTACAAGATTGAATTTCCCTTCTGGGATAAATAAAGTATTTTTCATTTCATTTCATTTTCATTTCATTATTATTGTTTGCAAAGACACAGATTTTTGATGTGGACGGTTTTTAAAGTGTCGGCCTGTTTTTGTTTCATCACTGTTAAAATTGATTTTACAGTTTATGTGCAATTTAATCCTGTTTTCTGCAGTTTTACACATAAAAATATTATTTCACAATTTTCACTTCTTAGTATAATAATAATATAGTAAAATTTGAAAAGTAAAAGTAAAAAAAACATAATTTTGCTGATAAAAAAAGTTAATTTTATAGTTCACACATTCAAAATTGCAAAAATACATTTTTTTTTAATGTTTATGTCATTATTTATAATTTTGGTTGGTATTTCTGCAGTAAACATAAATTAACACTTGTTTTCTTTGGTTTGTACTAGTTTTTATCTATAATCTGTAAAAAAACAACAAATTCTTCAAAAAAATAACTTTTTTTTTCAGTGTAGATAAAAACATTTTTAAAGTTAAGATATATTTTTTGCTCATTTTAGTTGTTTGAGAGTTTAAGTTCCTGACAAACACGTTAATAAACTCTTCAAACTGTCTCATATGTGCTTATATCAGAGTAATGATGTGCTATAAGCTATTCACTAAGCCAGATATTGTGTATAAGAATTTAAAAACTGAGATTAAAGTGAAGGATTTTGGGTTAAAAACTGCTTTAATGTGAATGAATGAACTGAATGTTCTGAATGAATGAAGCCTGTTTTCACCCGACGTCTGATTTACAACAACTGATCCACATTTTGTCCCGACAAGTCGACTGTAAACCTCTGAACTCGGCATTCCAGCCCCCGAACGTACGGCAATAAATAAAAGAAGACACAACAACAGGAGATATGCAGAAGGTCGCCGAGGAGACCTTTAAAACTGGAGGATTCATGTCCTACGGTGGGAGAAGATCCGAGTCCAGGCAGGTTCTAGCAACCAGACAATAACATGTGTGGGTCCAAGAGACGGTTTTATCCTGCAGATGCTTTAAATTCACACGTTTCAAGCATCTGTGGTGATTTAGCTGCATATTGGTCGAGTTTATTGAGTGAAAAAACTCAAAATACAGACATTATTTATATTTTATAGCACATAAACAGTCTGCACTGTAAAAAAAATAAAAATCTAGAAAAAGTTGAAAATCTGAGAGCAGAAAAACTACGTTAAAAAATGAAATACTGGAAAAAAAATAACGTACAATAATGATATTTTATGCTGATTTCAATACAGTGGACATTTTGAGCAGATTAAAATTTGGTTTAACATGTAAATTAATATTTTTCTTCTGAAATGACAAAATATTAGCTTTAATTTTATTTATTCATTTTTTGTTTACCATTTTTAACCCTTAATATACATAATTGTTCTTTTAGACAACATCGATTATCAGTAGAATAATTTTATTTTTAGCTGATTAAAATTGATCAGCGAAAAATGTAAATAAATATAATTAATATTATTAAATTAAAAGTAAATCAAATAATTAAAGAATTGTAAAAAAAAAATAAATAAATCTAACATTGTAAAAGAACAAATTAAAGTTTATAAAAATGTAGATTCTGGACATTATTGATAGTTGTGGCCTGTGTTTGTTTTAATGGTTAAAATGTTAATTAATGCCTTTTTTTCAGGGATTTTACACATTATCATCTATAGTTTAACAAAACATGTAAAATCTGTAAAATAACAGGAAAATATTTATATATTTTAAATAGTTACAAACATTTATAATTTACAGAAGATGAAGAAATTCCACTGTTTAATTTCACTTTTTTCCTCATTCGGAAGTTTAAATTAGTGACAAACACATTAACCAACACTTCCAACGGTTTTATATCAGTTTACATCAGATAATAATGTTCTAGTTTGTAGTTTAATAAACCCTCAGACTGAAGTCGTGTCTCAGTAGCTGATAAACGATACCGACAGCGGCGTAAACTCACCGGTGTTTGTGGATGATGGCGTTGAAGAGCTTCCCGTCCCTCCAGCTGGACGTGAAGTTGTCGCAGCGCAGACCCTGGTAGCCCTCCACCATCCGCTGGGACCACAGCAGCAGCTTCTCTTTGGCCGTCATGTCGTCCGACTGGCCGTTGACCTGGATGTCGGAGATCTGCAGGAGGAGACGAGCAGTCGGTGAGAAACTCAGGCTGCTTGTTTATCCACAGAAAAGAGACGCCTGAAGAGTCACTCTGAATAAAACACATTAAATGTACTGTCAATGTAGAAAATGGTAAAGAGGCGACGCTGTTCATTTAATGAACTGGTCACACTCACAACCAGGGAAGAGATTTTCAGATTAAAAGCCACCATGATTACAATTCATGTCTATTTATTTATTTATTTTTAACTTGTAAAGTTACAGGAAAAAATAACTAATTTACATGTTATAAAAAAAACTCATCAAAATTCAGTATTTTTAGAAAATGTAATGTTTAATTAAAATGTATTTAAATCAGCTGACTATTGAAAAACAAAAGCGTACTTTAAAGATGTACAGATGGTAAATTATTTTTATTTTACCGATTATCCTTGTTTTGTCAAAGTGCTGATAATAACGACTTTAATTATAAAAAAAAAATATACATGTTAACAGCAATAAAAAAAACCTGTCAATAATGCCCCAAATCAAAAACCTGTATTTTCTATAAACCCTGATTTCTTCATTAATGCTTTAATTACACTACTTTTTTAAAAACTATATTTAAAACAGCAAAAATATAATTATTGTACAAATAAGTACCATTATTTTAAAGAAAAATTGATATAAAAGATTGAAAATTTGTTAAAATAAAAAGAATAATTTTAAGTTTAATTAACAGTAAAAAAATAAATAAAAAAAAAATAGGCCAAAACTGTAAATTATGTCAAAAGTCTCTATTTATTTTTTTATTTTTTTAATAAATGACGATTTGTTCTTGTACAATATTTGGCTGTAAAATAATCTTTTTCTTTACTGTATTTAAAAAAAAATCATTTAATAATCAATCAGATATTCTCTGTTAATTGGAAAATAAATATTTATATTTAGGATTAAAAAAATATGAAACAGTTTAAAACTTGCACAGGTATTTCCTGTTTTGTTAAATTACTGTAAATATCCAGTAAAATGAAAGAAAAAAGTATTAATTTAATTTACATGTTGACTGTAAACAGGTCAAAACTTGACATAATGTTTAGATCAAAAATCAGCATTTTTCTAAATATTAATTTGTGTTTGTAGAACATTTGGCGTCAGAATTACAGTTTAACTGAATGTAAATCAGCAGATTATATTACTTCCAGATATGAGCTGTTGTTTTCTGAACTGCTGTTTGTAAAGTGTGTTTCTGGCACCAGATTATTTCAACAGCGTGGTTTCATATTTATTGAAAAGTGTTCATGGGAAAGTCACTTCTCCATCTCGACGTAAATCTTTTCCTTTGATTCGTTAAATCCGACTGGATCTCCGGCTGAAGCCAGAGAAACTTTCCACTTTGACCGCTGATTCCTTCCAGACTGCCGATGAGTCACTTCACAGAACTTTTACTCGGAGGACACATGACTTCTATTAAACTCACTGTTTTGGACGCTTTGTGATTACAAAACAGAAATCAGAGGAGTGAAGATGCCAACGAGGCGCTGATCTGACAGTCGCTCCACACAAATATGTTGGATAAATACTCTGGCGGCTGCAGAGGAACGCTGGAGCTTCAGCAGAACATTTAAAGAGCTGTGAGGCCGAACCAAGAGTCACAGAAACACATTCACAGCAAACGTTATCTCCGGGTGGGAAAGAAGAAGCTGCAGGTTTCCTTTACGGTGCGAGTCGGGACTGTCTGGACACGAACACACGACTTGAACTGTTTACATTGTGCAGCCTCGGCGTGACTCTTTGCATTAATCCCTCTGCAACGTCGGATCTATAATCAAGGTGCTTTGAAATGTGTCTGGTGTTTGTTTTGTTCTGCTCCGGTGCCAGATGGGCGGAGGTCTCTGCCAAGCTATGCACAAGTTGTAAAAAGGCTGCAACAATCAAAGGAAACCGCTGGCAAAAAGTCATCTTTTAACCCCCTGAAGCCCAAAACCTCCCGCTGCATATAGAGGACGTGCTTTTGTTTAGAAAATCGCACCATTTATCAGAACCAGAAACTATTAAAAACAGATTTTCCACAGTTTGTGAATGCATCAGCAAAAAAAAACCTTCAGAAAACTGTCATGTTTGATTAAAATTACTTCATTTGATATGTTTCACTCGAGAAATTGCCAAAAATACAAAGTTTGCACTCATCAGTTTCTATAAAAAACTAAATATTCGGTGTCCCGAGAAGTTATTTATTCAGCTACGAATAAAAATCATGCTGCAAAAAAAACCCAAAAACCTTATGTTTGCACAGAGCGGACTGAAGGTCAAATAAAAATTGCTTGATCAATGAAATAAATGCAGCGTGGCTCCAAAACAGTAAAAAGAGGAAAAAACAGCTTTAAACTGTGACATCACGTCAAAATCAATTTATTCTCCACATCTCACTGAAAAAAATGCAAAAAAAAAAATGCTTGCACTCATCAAATTGTGTAAAAAAACAAAAAATTATTTGCTCCCAACTCACTGCGCTGTGACCGACAGTTAAGTGACAGAAGTTCTGTCAGTTTTCAGCTGAACTGCAGGTCGTGTAAACAGAACAAAAAGGAAACTGAAGGTAAAATACAACTTGATTGATCAATAAAATCAGAGCCGCCTGGTTTAAATACAACAGAAAGAGGAGAAAAAACAGCTTCAAACTGTGAAATCAAGTCAAAACCAAGTTATTCTACACAACTGGCTTCAAAAAGTTACCAAAATAAAATGTTTTGCACTAATTAAATTCGGTAATCTGCCTTTTTTTTTGGTATTGTTAATATTTTATTTTATTTTGGTATCTGTTTTCTGCTTCTTTGCACCAATGGACCAAGTCAAATTCCTGGTGATGTAAAAATTACTTGGCAATAAAACTGATTCTGATTCTGATTCTGATTCTAAAAAATACAAAAAATTCTGTGCTCCTCGCTGCAACTAAAAAGCCATTATCCACTCAGCTGTGAGCAAAAGTGAAGTCACAAAAATTCTGTCAGTTTTCGGCTGAGCTGCAGGTTGTGTTCGAATGTAAAATACTGGATCAATAAATAAATGCAGCGCGGCTCAGAAACAGTGAACAGAGCAGTGAGTTGTTGGAGGACACATCCAGCACGGTGACATAACTTTTAGAGAAAGTTTGCAGAAGTTGTTGTAAATAGTTAAATATCTCCAACATGTGGAGCCTCCATTTGTTCCTGTTTTTTTGGTGTGACTTGAAAAATGTTGGACATGATGAATCAAGGTTTTTTTTAAAAATGTTTGTAGCATAAAAAATGAAAAAAATCAACTTTTTTTTTTGGTGTCTTTTCAGTGATTTATGTGGTGGATGGAGGACACATCCAGGACGGTGAAACAGCTTCATGAGGACGTCGTGCAGAGTGGAGTGAAAGTTTGTAGAAGCTGTAAAAATGTAAACAGGCGTCGTAAAAAAGCCTCTAAAACAGTTTTATTGGGAACACGTTGCAAATGTTGATTACAGCTTGTTTTTGTTTTTGACTGTCTTTCCTATGATTTATGGCATTAGCTATACGTCGTCTGTCTCTAGTCCTGGTTGTTCTGTTTCCATGCAGCTGCAGGACTTTATATTGTAGTAAAAAAATGAGCCAACAGTGAGGAAAAATGTGACAGGAGCAAAAAAAAACCCTGCTGGGGGTTCAGATGGTGAAGCAAATTCCAGCGCTTATAAACCTCACAGTCTCTCACTGGAGCAGCAGCTTTATGACCACTCTATACTGTTCCCAGTGTTTTTTTTTTTTGGAGGTATGTGGATGAGTCACGGCAGAACTAATGATTTCTCTGACTTTTTTTTTTTACAGGAAAAGGGTGGAGGAGGGAAAAAAGGAGGCATTTCTTCCTCCTGAGAGGGAAACCCCGTGGACGTGGGCACGAGGTGACTCAGGCGCTGGGTGGAAACGGGACCTCCGCCCTCGCTGCTGCTGCTTCGTCTTTACATTCACGAAGCATATCTTTTTATTAATCACCTGAATTGGCTGCACCCGGGGAGCTCGGAGGAAACTCGCTATTGTTCGCGGTGGCTGAAAACAAAGAATCTGTTTTGCAGAAGCTGTCAGATGACGTCTAAATTAGAGTTTTTATTGCTTAAAGTTATTACTTAAAAAACAAACAAAAGAGTCGACTTTTACGGACCAAACGGCGAGGGATCTTTTTTTTTTTTTATTTTTGCTTGCAGTTTTTAGGTTTCCACGCCAACGTCTCCTCCTCGCGGGAATCACTGAGTCACGCTGAGCGACGAGGAAAACGATCCCACATAACATAACCATCGTACTCATTATGGCATCAAACAATCTCCCAGTACTCCCACTCCTTTTTCCAGTAGAGAGCGTCCAGACATCGGGAACCCATCTGCTCGCTGACGAACGCTTTCCTCCGGTGCGGCTGCTGCTGCCAGCGGCGGTTCGAGCAATTTTACACTGTTTATGTTATGTAATAAGGAGCCCCCGTTTGAGCGAAACCGCCACATTTAGATATAACTCATGGAGCTGCACCGCAAGGAGAAGAAAAAAAGAGCTTCTTTCTCTGGCATGGGAACATCCGTCCTCGAAAATGAATGAATGGCTTTATTTCAGTGTTTAGTCTTTGTGCACTCAAGGACTCGAGAGGCTGTGTATAAAAGCCTAAGTGCTACCAAATGTCCAATAAAAGCCGTTTGGAAGCGATTGGCTGTCGGATTCTACTGTATTGTAACTGCAGCGTCAACATCAGGATGAGAACCGGAAGCAAACTAGTTCCAGCGTAATCGAAGCAAATGTTCTTTTGCACCTCCATGGAGTTCAGGAAGTGTAGCAAATCCAGTTGAAGTAATGAAATCTTACGCTGGTTTAACGATAAAACTGGCAGAAAGTGTCCCGTGTTACCTGGAAGTGAAGGATGATGGTCCATATCAGTCCCAGGGTCAGCTTCGGGTTTCCATCCGCAATGTCATCGTTCCTGATGTTGACCAGTTTGACCTGAGAGTCGGTGGATGAGAAACAGTTTGTTAGTTTGTTTACACGACTCAAACACAACCTGAACAGTTTCCTGAAGGCAGCTCTTGACGTAAATCTGTGCAGAGTTTGTACGATCGAAAAGTTCAGGGACTGTTCTTGTTGCAACGGTTTTTCCATTCTGGCAGCTTCGAGATGTCTTTTGAGAGACGAGACTTCACGTTGTCAGCTCGTCATTCGCAAAAAGTTGAGGTCTGGGCTGCTTTATGTAAATTTAGGGGTGTCTGGTGCAACTTCCTGCTTCTAAAAGCTCCTGATATGAATCTGTGCTGAGTTTGTACCATCGAAAAGTTCAGAGACTGCTCTTGTTTCAACGGTTGTAATGGTTTCCCATTCGTTGTCTATGCAAGCAGCTCTGCAATTCATTCTAGTAGCTTCAAGATGTCTTTCTAGAGATGTGACATGATGTTGTCAGCTCGTCAAATTTCGGGGCATCTAGTGCAACTTCCTGCTTCTAAAAGTTCTTGACATAAATTTGTGCCGAGTTTGTATGATCGAGAAGTTCAGGGACTGTTCTTGTTGCAATGGTTTTTCCATTCTGGTAGCTTCGAGATGTCTTTTGAGGGACGGGACATCACGTTGCCAGCTCCTTATTTGCAAAAACTTGAGGTCTAGGCTGCTTTATGCAAATTTAGGGGCATCCAGTGCAACTTCCTGCTTCTAAAAGCTCCTGACAAAGTTCTTGACATAAATCTGTGCCGAGTTTGTACGATCGAAAAGCTAAGATACTGCTCTTGTTGCAACGGCTGTAATGGTTTCCCATTCGTTGTCTATGCAAGCAGCTCTGCAATCCATTCTAGTAGCTTTGAGATGTCGTTTGAGAGAAAAAAAAACAACAACAACAACAGCGCAAGCCCTTCTCCCATTGGTCACCATCGAAAAGTTCGTGTGGCATCGGTTTTTTTCATTCTAGTAGCTTCGAGATGTCTTCTGAGAGACAGAACATCTCGTTGCCAACTCCTCATTTGCAAAAACTTGAGGTCTAGGCTGCTTTATGCAAAATTAGGGGCGTCCAGTGCAACTTCCTGCTGCTAAACGCTCCTGACAAAGTTCTAAACTTACTGCTGTTGATCTAAAACAAAGACAGATTCAGCGGCTGTATGCCGTACTTCTCACCCTAAATGTTTTCAAGGACACATTTTGTTACACAAACGAGCGGCCGGGTTGGAAATCCAGGAGCAGAGTGCCCAGCATTTATCCAACCAATGTTTGTGTGGTTGTCAGAGGGTGTGTCCTGTGTTGGTTTCCTGTCGGAGCATCTGCTAATTATCTATCATCACCCTGTCAAGTTCTACACCCATGAAGCGCCCGACGCTGGTGATGGGTGCAACCCTTCAGCTCCACAAACATCCGACCGTCATGAGTCATGTTTTATCGCACGGTCGGCATCGTGCTTTTGTGAACGTTTGCAGTTTCACCGTGGAGCTCGGACTGCAGCAGAGACATTCTGTGTGAGTCAGCAACCTTCTCGTGGAGCGTCGTGGTGACCAGAGGAAGGTCTGCAGCTACCACCAGAAGGAGAAACAGCAGTTTTTAAAGAGCTGCAGTTTCCAAAGGGGCATGTACGTTGTTTTCTTTAGCATTCACCTGGATTCATTTGGAAGCTTCCGTTGGACCAAGAAGTTCTGCTGTAATGTTCTGAGGTGACGCTTGGTGCAAACAACCTGGAAACGTTGGCGGTTTGACACACAGAGCGCTACGGGTCCAGTTACAATATGAACGTTTTTCTAGGCGGCAGCAACACGATGGCCGCTCTGCTCGCTAGATTCGGCTAAATGCAACTTCTTCCTCTTTCCCAACATGAAACTGAAGTTGATGGGAGTCATTCTGACACAGTTTAGGATAGATAATGTTTTGAAACCCTTACTTAATATCAGACTTACAGGGAGTAATGTGGCAGGAGCACTGGGACCAAAGTGCTGCTGCACAAAGACACATCATAGGTGAAATCATTTTTCCTCAAATCAGGCAAAAAGACAAACAAATAGTTTCATTTCCAGAAGGAAAAGTTGAGTTTTTGTCCAATTGTGAACTCTGGGATGATCAAGCTTCCTACATTAAATCTGAAGGACGATATTACTCGCTTTTGTTCTTAAGAAAATGTGAATATCAACTTAAAATTGAAAGATGTGACTGCATAAATATTATTATTAATAATCACAGCATGGCATGTGGGTGCTCCATTACGAGCAGGTTGTTTAGCAAAAAGCAGAGCAATTGTCACTCTGCACCTGCCATGCTCGCTAGATTTGTCTCTTTGTGAATACTTCGTCTTCCTCAAAATGAAATTCAAGTTAAAGCGTTGCTGTTTTGACAGCTTCAGCTCTCATTCTTTACACAAAGCGACTTCCAGGGAGGGTTACCAGTATTGCAGGAGCACTGCGAGCAGAGCGTCACTATTTCACGACACTTTTTTCTCAAATCAAACAAACAAACAAACAAACCAGCAGATACTAAACCTTAAAGCAGAGAAAACCAACATCAAAATATTCCTTTAACATGCGCTCAGGTTGTTCTGGTCCTTCACTGACCTGTCTGTGCTTGAGGAAGTCCAGGGCGATCTGCACGTTCTGCAGCTTGTGGAAGCGCATCCGGCCTTTTTCCCGCGGCTGCAAAGAGACGAGAGGAAAACATGAAGAGGAGGCGACGATGCCGGAGGTTCAGATGAACCAGCAAAGCCCCATGACCGAGGAACGGGAGCCTCAGAGATCTACACATCTACACAGTCATGGGCTGGGAGGAAAAAAAAAATCAAAAAATAAAGATGGCAAATTTGAAGGTGCGATTCAAATTCTGCATGGTTGTGATCAAAGCGACCGCCGCCGGATCCCACATGACCCCCGAGATGCATCAGAGGCCCAGCCAAGATGTCTGCGGGTGAGAAGCATGAGAATGGATGGAAACAGTGATTCCCTCCCCCGTCATCAGCTCTCGTCTTCTCCGAGCTCTACCTCCTCCCTGCGCCCGATGAGATGCCTGCTCACTTTTTTAATCTCTAACTTCCCGGCGCCCCCTGATGACTTCATTGTGGTTTTTTAGCTGAGGCGAGCTCCGATCTGTCGCTTTCGGAGGACGGCTGTGATGGCCATGACATGCATTGGTGCTCCAAGTTGTAAGCTTTCAGCCAAGTCTCAAGCTCTGTTGCGGCAACATTTCAGCTTGCAGCGGTGAAACTTTGAACTTTGCCGTCAATGCAGTGGAGGAACCCGACACTTGTAGCTCTTGTTTGACCCCAGACGGCTCAGTTTAAGTCTTTGGTGATGAATTTACATGTTCGGGCCTTTAACTGTGAAGTGTGCAGACTTAGAAGCTCCAGGAGGATAAAAGGCAATGACTTTCAAAGACTAGAAATGTCTTTTAAGTGTTTTGTTTTTAGCAATAAAATGACAGGGCTTTAGTCCTGTAAGTCACTAAATCATCTGATTAGTGAGGTGAGTTTAATGTTTGCTGGTCAGAACCTATTTAGAAAAGCTGTTTCTAGAAAACTCCAAAACCTCTTCAAGCAGGTTTTTTTTATTTTTATTTTTTGCAGAATTGTGGCTGTTTTTTCAAATATTGTTTTATTAAAAATGCACATAAAAAAACATAATTCCTGCATTTTATCTAAAAAGTCGAGTGTAAACGTTGCAGCTCAACAACCAACATGGCAGAACTCGTCTTCTCAGTCGTTCTTTATTTCAGTTCTATTTTCAGAAATCACATTAATGTAAGCAGCAGCTCCACGTCTGCTGTTGTCACGTCAGTATGAAATAACCAGATTAAAATAATTCAATATGCTATTAATAGCAGCTGCTAGGCTAACGATCCAGCAGATCATGTGTGCTGTGGAACAGAGACTTTATCTGGAGACTTTTTTTTCGGTTTGGTCGAAGAGCGACGATGATTTCAGGCGACAAAAGCAGCAGCAAGTTACTAAAAAGATGCGATTTCTTGAATTAAAAGTTTAGTTTTTGTCTGATTCTTAACTCTGGGGAGACGCAGTTTATAGATTCAGCACCGATCTCAGATGGTTTACGTTGCAGGATTGTTGCTCTATGAGCAGAGTCCTGCGAGTTTATAATCAGGTCGTGTTTTTTTATCCGAGTCATTTTTGATCTCATTTTCCTCAACTCGTATGGACTAGCATTGGCAAAAGGTTGTGGGTAAATCACACCCAGAAGAAATGTTGTTAAAGTGTCATTTCTTGAATAAAAAAGTTGTTTATGTTGCTTTTTTTGCTCCAGTTGTCAACGCCGGAATAAACGAGCTTCCTCTAACGTGTTGGGTGTGACAGGTTTCAGGATCACTCCGTCTCCTTTTTCATTTATTTAAAAATAATAATAACAATAAAATATGAATTTAAATTAATCAGGTTGATTAAATTAATCTCAGTTGTATTATGTAATACCATCAGGTAAAGTAGTATTTTATCTAACACATGTCGGATTTCATCCTTAATATTTACTTTTTTTTTTTTTCAGTTAAAATCAATTATTACAGAAATTATTCCATTTTAAACTTCTTGTCCCATAAAATAATCACTATTTCACTGACATCTGTTGTTATTTTCACAGTTTATGAATCTTACAGGATACGACTGTTTTTTTTCACAGTTTTTTTGTTTTTGTTTGTTTACCAGACTTCTTTTTTTTTTACAGTATACATTATTTAAATTACTCTCCATAATTAACACCGCTGTGGGTGTAATGTGCATTACACTCAGGTAAAGAGTGATTTTATGCCATTTTTCAGTTAAAATCAATCACTGCAGAAACTATTCCGACTTAAAGTCTCATTTCTTCTCTCCAAATAGTAACTTGCACTTAAAATAATCACTATTTCACTGACATTTGTTGTTATTTTCACAGTTTATGAATGTTGCTGGATTCCACTGGCTTTTCTTTTCAAATACTTTTTTTTCTGATGTGTTTGCTGCAAGATTTTATTTTTGCTACTAGACTTTTATTTTTTATTTTTTACACTGTGCGTTAGTTCAGTTATTCTCCATGATGAATAACACTGTGTTGCCTTTGAATGTCCTCTACAGTCAGGTAAATTGTGATTTTCTATCATTTTTGTCGGGTTTAATCCTTAATATTTACATTTTAAGAGTTAAAATTGAACACTGCAGAATTAATTCCAATTTAAACTCTCACTCCAAATAGTAATTTGCTCCTAAAATAATCACTATTTTACTGATATCTGTTGCTATTTTCACAGTTTATGAATGTCGCAGGATTCTACTGGTTGTTTTCTGACATGTTTGCTGCAAGATTTTAATTTTTTCTACTAGACTTTATTTACACTGTACATTAGTTAAGCTATTCTCCATAATGAATACCACTGTGGGGCCTTTTAATGTGTATTACAGTCAGCTAAATTAGGATTTTGTATCATTTTTGGGGGGTTTTAATGCCTTATATGGAGGTAAAATCACACCATAAGTAATAAATGCCAATTGCAGTGTTTGTTTCTAAATGTGCTGCATGAAAACGGTGCCTCGACTCCACTTTTTAACCATCTTTACCATAAAACATCCTTAAAAACAGTCCCTACAGGACCTATTAACTCCTCACGTCCTGCCGGCTCACTGCTCCAATGACAAAGACGATGTTGACACACAGAGGGACAGTAAACAGGGAGTGTGACTGTCATCATGCACGGCCCAGCAGCCACCTGGGCAGGTGAACATGCCACGCCCGAGGAGGCGGCCGCCAACGTCCGGGCGCCACTCACCAACCGCACGTTCCTCACAACGTCGCGCTCCCTCGGCTACCACGGCAAGAGCATCGCAAGAGAGGAAGGCAGAGGGGGAGAGGTCAGGGTCAGCAAACAGGAAGTAGATCAACGGAAAAACCAGGCCTCAAACAAGTCAGTGCAGAAAGGTTACAAGATGGAGGCAAAGAATGAAATTAGTGTTTGTTTGTTTGTGTGTTCCCGAAAGAACAGCGCTGAGTAGGTAAAGTAAAAAACGAGTGCGCACAGAAGCCCCCGAAACATCTCTGAAGAGGTAAAGTCAACGCATGCAGAGGACGTGGAGACAAGAAACCAGCAGAGGAACATTTAGAGCAGCTGAAGTCACGATGAGACAACCGGACACGAGAGGCAGAGAATACAGTCGCTACACTGTAAAAAAAAATACATGATTTAAACTGTTTTTAGCAGCTTTTTATCAGCGATTTGTGATTATTGTAAAGATTTTCCGTTTCTTTTTGGGTAAATTACAGACAACAACTATTAAAACTACAGAACAAAGTAGTAACAAGAAACAAGGATTCATGTTTTAATTTAATTTAATTGTTTTTAAAAAAAAACCCCAAATTACTGGATTTAAATCAGCAAAAATAGGATTATTTTTCAAATATTTGCAGTTCTTTAAAATAAAAATTATGTATATCAATTAAATATTAAAATGTAATCGTTGTTTATCAGATTTAAGGAAAAAGTGGACCTAGACTTTGGAACTGTTTTCATCTACACTGTCAAATACAAACATTTAAAACAGTTTTTAATGGTAATTTTTTTTTTTTTTTGAACAATTTGCAGTTATTTTATAGATTTCCCCCCTTTTTTTTGTTAAATTACAGATAACAACTATTAAAACAACTATGTTTTAGTAAATTAAATTTAATGCATATTAGAAGATGTTAAGAAAAAGACCACAATTATCCACACAAATCCACATTAAAAATTTGTAATAGCACAAAAAGAAATTAATTCTTTTGCACTAGATGGTAAAATTACACTATTTTAACTGCA